TCAAAAGCCTTGAATTTTCGAATAAATTTCGTTTAAATAAGCGATTAAATCACTAGAACTATTTAACAGCGATTAAATTTTAGCCTCCATATTGGATTTTTGTTTACTATTTTATGGTGTTATTTACAAGTTTTAACAAACATTTTTTAAAAAACAATAAAAAATAAGTTATCTAGTTTACGAAATATCAATTATATATAGTGTAATTATAATTATAATTAATCTGTAAGGCATAATAATTAAACAATTTCTAGATTTTTCGTTTCGGGTTTTACAGTGGCAAAGTAACAAGAAAACACACTTATAACGCGATAATTATAAATTTTTTCAGGACTGTGACGCAATCCACTATAGTGTAATAATATTTAGTAAAAGTAACTTTATGGTGGTAATGATTTAAAATACTAACTAATATCTGAGCATGAGACTAATTTGATATGTATTTTTCTTGATTAAAAACTGCAACACCCGAAACGTTTCGGGTGTTACAACTTTTTTCATTTGTCGATATATGTGTGTGTATTGCTTGAAGAATGCAATAAGTATTATTTTGCTCTTTTTCTCTTTCGACGGCCCACTAGCGCCGCCATCGGAAATCAGTCACACATCTTTTAAAGAGGTGTGACTGCTTTTACGATGGTATTGCCGAACCTACCGAAATTTCGGTATTTCTACCGAAATGTTAACGGACCTACCAAAATACCGAATACTAAGATTTTCGTCAATAATTATGTTTCTCCCGATTTTTGGCAATAATAAGGATTTTACCCTTTTCACCGATTTATCAATCGCACCCGAAGCTGCTAGCAGCTAGAAGCTTAAGTTATCTTTAAGGAGAATTCATTCTATTTATGTTTATTTGTTACTTATTTTGTGGTACCTAGAGACTAAATAAAATAACGATTTTGTCCATATAAAGTGTTTAATGTTTGTACTTGTAACACCCGAAACAGAACCATGGTAATACCCGAAACAAAGTAAAATTTTATAAAAAAAAATAGTAAAACGTTATTTGTGACAGTGATTTTGTGGTAGATGGTTAGTAAATATTATACTTTTGGAGGCCTGTAATTTTTTGGTATTTTTCCCTAAGAAAATAAGGCACTTTAATTGCTAAATTGTCATTTCAAAATACAAATTTAGACTTTGGTTGGACACCCGAAACGATGGAATGACCTTTAAATAAAATTACATTAAAAACTATTTAAAATATCATTACGAAATTTTAACAAAAGTTTTGTGTGATTCCGTAAAAAATTTAATTGAATCAGTATCACAACTAATACCACCAAAATGTGGTGTTAAAATTTCCTATAATATTTTTTTTCACTTTTTTGCCATGCAAACTTTCCAAAAAAAATTAAGCTGACTGAGTGGATTATTTTTCAATACTTAGTCCTATATATATGTTATATATAAATATTTTTTCAACGTCAAAAATCGTAGGTTCATTTCTCTTTATCAAAATCTCCTCCAGACAATTTGCACTTATTTGGCATGTGTAATGGAAATGATAGATAAGAATATTTTAAACTCTAAGGTAAATATACTGTTTATCTTTAAAACAATACGAATTTAACTTAGTGCTTAATATAAATACGGAAATTTTATCGAAATTTGAACAGTTGTTTTGTGAAACTCATTCAGTCGAGAATCTCTAAAAAGTAAAATTATAAATATTAGTTACCTCTATAAGAAAAATGAAGTGGAATACTATGTAAATATATTTTTTGTATCTAATTATATATTTTCTTTAATAAAATCAAAAATTAAGCAAATTTTGGAGAGTGATTTTTTGAAGTATGTGATGAGAAATTATTGTAATATTTATAGAATAATTTTATAAAATTTGCCAAAAATAATGATACAACTTTCTTGGCCAACGTACCAAGAAAAGCTAAATATGTATTTCCAAAAAATTATTAGGTCAGTTTTCTTAATACTTTATAAAGCAAATTTTAGAAAATTTTGTAAGACTTCTTCTATTTTAAAGGTTTTCCCCTATTTTTAATAATAATATTAAAAAGCTTGCGTTGTAAAATGAAATGTAAAAATTTTAAAACTCACAGCTTGTCAATGTGTATTTAAAAACAATGTCTACTAGAGTATCAAATAGTTTCTTGACGCCAATATTTGAAAAGATTATATGAACGGTTGTACCGTGAAAAACTGCTTCTATATCGATTGTTAGTCTATTTTCAATGGATAAATTTTGATTTACACAGAAAAATTTGAGATTTTAACGCCGGTAGATTCCCAAGTTGGAAATTCTAACAGAAATTCTAATAAATACAAATGTCACTTTTTGTACCATTTTCCGTGTAAGAATTTTTAATACAAATATAAAAAAAAATATTTTCCCAAAGATAAAGAAAAAATATGCATTAGAAGTTTTTTATGAAAGTGCTAAACTATTATCAAATAAATGCTAATTAGCGTGCCATAACTTTGGTAATAATTTATAAAATTTAAATTTTTTTCCCAAAAAAATCTTACTTCTACGATGTCTATAGACATACATATTTTGTTTATAAAATTTGTTCCTCAGGTAAATCTGAATAAATTTTAACACTTTTTTAAATTTTGGCCATAAATAAAAATAAAAAGGTTATTGTAAAGGAAAACTTCGTAATTTTGATATTTCGATATTTTCGTAAAATGTGTCTCATGCAATTCTTTTTATAAACTTTAAAAACTTCGAAAATATAAAAATCTAACCCACTCATTTAGAGTGTTCAGAGTATTTTTAGAGAATTAAATTAGGTACTTATATATAATAAGTAATTATAGAATTAAATTAGGTACTTATATATAATAAGTAATTATATTACTTTAAAATATAAAATTATAATATTTACGTTAGAAGATAAATTTAATTTTTACATTCAGGTTGTGAATGATTTTTGACGCAAAATAGCTAAAAATAGTTATTAGAGGTTTATGCTAATTTAATACTTAAATATTAAAAAAAATATTTTCTCAAAGATATATCTTTATAAAGAAAAAATATGCATTAGAAGTTTTTATATTTTTTGTGATACGCCACTGCCCAGATAGCACAAGTACGTTCGTAGGACGTTCGTAGGACTTCCACCCAGGACAACCCGAACGTCCTCAGGATGTCCGGGGTCTGCAAAAGTACGTTCGTAGTACGTCCACAGACTTCCGAAATAGACTGTTTCAGATGTCCTCAGGACGTCCGTATTTGACCCCAAGCTGTCCAATTCGGGACATATGAGGACCGAATTAGGACATAGTTTTATTATAATAAAAAAGTTTACAGACGTCCTGGAGAGGTATATCCTATAAGTTCAGTCCTGAAATTCTCTGAATCGCAAGATACTTTTTTAACACACTCGACTAGCTAGACATTATTCGTTACTGAGCAGATGAGGATGGAGATGGGGACTCCAAACAATTAATGTTCAGCTATGCCATTACGGATACACACTTCCAACTAAATATTGCAACCAATCGCTATTTATAGTTAGCTCGCGTGCGTAAGCAGCCGTGAGATGTATCGATTATGCCGCGGCAGGCCGAATTCCAGCCGTAAGCGGGCCGGCTAGGGCAAGCCGAAGGATTTTGCTTCGGCATGCCGTATTCTGGCCGACTTCGGTTAGACCATGGCTAAACGGTACCGGGGTAACATAACGCGGGCCGTAATTATAATTATATAAGTAAAAAAAATGGACAACTTTTTTTAAAATCTTTTATCGTGCTTGATTAAAGAGTATTTTTAATAAAAAACAAGGTGTAATTTTTTTTCACTTAGACCCTTTATAAAGGGTGATATCAAATTGTATCTTCAACTTTCGTCGCAGGCAGAAAACCGATGGACGTACTGAGGCCTAGGCCTCAGGATGTCCATCGGCCTAGGCCTCAGTACGTCCATCGGTTTTCTGGTCGCGACCGTCTGTAAAGGATTTAAACCGGATGTCCTCAGGACATCTTGTGCTATCTGGGTGGTTACACACTTGTCTTCTGTGAGTACATGTGTATACCAACCAATAAAGTAGTTGCACGTTGTTACTAAAAAATAAATAAAAACTCAGTAAATACAAAAGTTGTATGCCCTTAAAGCTCCAATTTGTATTTATTTACTCATCCAGCTATTAGCGCTATAGCTTAAGCAATGATTAGAAAATTTAGTACTTATTTTAAAAACTCCATAACCACAAAATTAATTTTTTCATCGGTTTTTTTCTTTCTGTTTACTGAGATGAAATAAGCAAAAGTTCACAGGTTAAAGGTTAACATTCAATTTGTGTAAATAAATCCAAAAGCACTTCCCTTAGTTAAGATATTTACAATTTGAGCACATAACCTAAACTTTGAAAGACATGCACTAGATTCTGTCATAAAAGTTGCCAGATTTTGTTTGAATTTACCTTCATTACAAAAATGACATAATATAAACAATTAATAAAAACGCCAAATTAACAATTTCCATTGTTGATTTTATCATTAGGTATTGTATTTAGCTAAATTTAAACAAAATTTGGCAACTTTTTGACAGAATCTGGAAACCAACCATAACATAATAAATTAAATTAGTCGATCAGTGGCGTACTTTTTGGTAGGATAAAGGCTATTATAAATTATTTTTAGTATTTAGAACAGGGTGTCCCAACTTTAAGCCGTTTTCGAAAAACTTGTCGATTTCCTAAAAATGTTTTAATATTTTTAAGTAGCAATAACAAACCAGAAAAACATTGAAGCGACATTTTGGAAGGTTAACATTTTGCACAACCTTTAATTTTTAAATGATTCCTTCAAGGTAAAGTTATAGTGAAAATATGCATCAATATTTGTCAACAGCGCAAAATATGAAAAAAATGCCAAAAAATATACAGGCCATATCACCCTTCAAAATCCAAAATGTCCGCAAATTTCTTACTCATTCCTCTAAGAAGCGCATACAAAATAGTAAAGTGTTCTAAAAATACATTAATTCTTAACTGGCCGCTACATTTATAAACCTCTGGCGAGCAACATTGGAGCTCACAATCCGTTTAAACACCACACAGTTTGGAACATTTTTTTTTGCTACTTTCGCTGACATACTTAGTTGTTTTTATAATGGTGAAGTTAAACTGGCACAATAAAATGGCAACTTTGTAAGGTCTATTACGTGAAAACGTGTGGTGTAGTGTTAAATGTTACTTTTCTTGCGTGCAGGGTCAAAATGCCGCAGAAACCCAAAGCGAAGCCCAAAAAGGAATTACCAGAGGATGCAGAAGTGGGCTCAGTACACGAAGAACTGGAAATACCCGTTGCTTCGGAAGTGATCTTTAAGAAAATATGGACAATAAAACAATTCAATAAGACAATCTCCAAGCGAGATCTCCTCGACAGCCCCAATTTCAGGTGTTCTGTCAACGGGATGTCTACCTTTTGGAATATGGCAGTGAGATTTTGGAAAGGTAATTTTTTATATATTGAGGGTTAATTTTAGATAACGAAGGTTTTTTAAAAGTCATTACGTGTTGAGATGTATTTTTGAAATAAGTCAAGTACTTTTTTTGTTGAGGCGGGATTTTAAATAGAAACGTTGTGCAATTGTTTTATTCATATATATTTATATTGATAGACTATTGCATAACAAAATTGGGCCGATCAATATGGCACGCCGTTTTAACATTTAAGTATTAAATAATTTTTTAATTTAAATTTTTCACTAACTAAACATTTTGGGTTTACATTTATAAATTTAAAATATTTTTAACTATCATGTATTGAAAGACAAAATTTACTAACTAACTTCAGTATTAAACAATGTTATTTCCAATCAATTTTTGCAAAAATTTCTAACTATCATTTTTTAATAAAAATAATTTCCTAAGTATAATTTATTTGGGCAGAATTTAGTAAATCCTTAATAAATTTTGTATAAAATTATTTAGATTAAATTGGTAAAGTTAAATTTTTTAGTATTTAAAAATAGTGTCGAGACATTTAAGAACAAATAAAAAACATTTTTTACGAAAATAGTTTAAAAAGTTATTTTTTTTAATCTCAAAACAATTGATAATCAAAAAATATTTTAAATATGAAATGCAAATATAAAAGTTGAAGTTTAAAATATTGGTTTTTAAAAATTGTACTTTCAATATTTTATCCTACCTACAAAATTATTGGTTTAAAGAGTCATTTATTCATTTTTAATACTAAAATTCTCACATTACATTTAAATGTTAGTTTATAATTTTAAAGTGATAATTTTTGCATTAAAATGTATCGACTATCCAAAAATTATCACTTTAAAATTTAAAACTTGCATTTAATGTGAGAATTTGTGTATCATTTAAATGACTTTTTACAATTTCAACCAAAAATTTGGAGAATAAAATATTTGAACTAAAATTTTTAAAAATCAATATTCTTAAGCTTATAGATTAACAGTGGTATTTTTTTTTTTTTAAATTTTTGACTATCAGTTGTTTTGAGTTTAAAAAAATTTAACTTTGTAAATTTCTGTTAAAACATCATTAAAGTGCTAAACTTTTATCAAATAAATGCTAATTAGCGTGCCATAAATCAAACTATGGTAATAATTTATAAAATTTAAATTCTTTTCCCAAAAAAATCTTACTTCTATAGAAGTAAGATATCTATGGTACATATTTTTTAATTTTATGTCATTTATGCCAATTAAATACGGTTTTACTTCGAAAAGATCAACAACGAAAAACAGTTTTTCTAGATTATCTCGTAAACTGTAGATTTTACATTTTGAGGTTTATAAAATTTGTTCCTCAGATAAATCTGCATAAATTTTAACACTTTAATTTTTAAATTTTGGCCATAAATAAAAATAAAAAGGTTATTTTAAAGGAACATTTCGTAATTGTGATATTTTGATATTTTCCTAAAATGTGTCTCATGCAATTCTTTTTATAAACTTTAAAAACTTCGAATATATAAAAAATCTAACCCACTCATTTAGAGTGTTCAGAGTATTTTTAGAGAATTAAATTATAGGTACTTATAATCGCAATCCACACAATGGATTGTGCTTATAATAAGTAATTATACCTATTACTTTAAAATATAAAATTATAATATTTACGTTGGAAGATAAATTTAATTTTTGCATTCAGGTTGTGAATGATTTTTGACGCAAAATAGCTAAAAATAGTTATTAGAGGTTTATGCTAATTTAATATAGTTGGTTTTAAAGGAATTGGGGTATCTATCTATAGAATATTTATTATATTTAATTAATTTGTTCTACTTACTCCTTTAAAACGCCCATTATCGTACATGTTTCCATGGCACTAAGTGACCATTTAAATACATAAAAGCAGAGGAGTGCATCATTACTAAACCTCTATAATACTACTACTGCTAAAATGGAAAATAAAATTTAAAAAAATGCAAAAAATTTAAATACACATTGACAAGTTGTGGCTTTATAGCGTTTTAATCAAGGGCTGAAGTTAATAATAATAATAATAATAACCTTTATTCGTTTAAAAAAAAAATACTAAATGGTGTAAAACACGTCAAATATAAAAATGTGATAAAAATACTGGTCCAATTAGGAAACATTTAAAAATATAAATATAAGATACACAATTATAAGTACATAAGCACATTTAAAAATATATAATCATATGAACCTTTAAAATAAATATACAAATACATAAACACATTTAAAAATATAATATATAGCATAAAAAACTTTACGATAAATGTTGCGGAAGATCATCATTAAAGAATTCCTCCATTGAGTAAAAGGATTTTTCCATTAAAAAAATTTTTAATTTATTTTTTACTTTCTTAGTCGAAAGATTCCTAAATTTTTCAGGCAGCTTGTTAAATACCTTAAGTATAGAATTTGGAACATTATTTTGTAAATAAGTGAAATTTAATTTATTATTTGAATAATTTGATTTAAATCTAGTTTCATAACAATGGAGATTCCTAAATGCTTCAAACAGATCCAGGTTCTTTTTTACAAACAAAACTGCTTCATATATAAAAAGGCTATAAATTGTTAAAAGCCTATGATTTATAAAATAGGGTCTACAAGAATCGGTTTCTTTTAATGAAAAAATTCTTCTTATACATTTTTTTTGTAAGATAAATATTCTTTCTGTATCTGGAGAATAAATCCAAAATATTATACCATACCTGATGTTACCTAGATTGAATGTAGGCATTAAAGGCCGCTAATGATGAAGTTATATTGACTGTTTGAGATATAATTTTTAATAAATAACAATACTTAGACATATTTTTTGACATTTTATCTAAATGACTTCTCCAATCCAGTCTGTTGTCTATTTCCAAACCCAAAAATGACACACTTTCTGAGAGCTTTAAAGATATATTTGAATTATTAGTCTTATTAAAATTTCTTTGAAATTTTATTATTTGAGTTTTGCTTGTATTTAAAAGAAGATTGTTAGATTTGAACCATTTATCAAGCACCTCTATTGAAGAGCGAATATATGAATCATTTTTAAATGCGTCTAAGCTAAATATTAAAGAAGTATCGTCTGCGTACTGAATTATATTTTCCTTTACAATAAGCGGAAGTTCATTTGTGTAAATTATATATAGAAGGGGCCCTAGTATGGAGCCTTGAGGTACCCCTTTTTCAATGAGAATTTTTTTAGATCGTATTTTTATTCCTTGTTCATTTCTTTCTACTACTGACTGGGTACGATTTTCTAAATATGACCTAAACAAATTTAAAGACACCCCCCTAATGCCGTACAATTCAAGCTTCTTTATTAATAGTTGATGATCGACACTATCAAACGCCTTTGAAAGGTCGAGGCACAACAAAAAGGTATTTTTATTTAAGTTTTGTGATTCTACTATATTGCAAAGTGCTTGATAAATGGCCCGAATCGTAGACCTGTTCTTGCGAAAGCCATTTTGGGAGTCGCTTATGACAAAGTTATTTTCTAAAAATTTTGAAAGTCTGTTGTAAATTATTTTTTCAACTATTTTGCTAATATTGCTTAGTAGAGCAACAGGTCTGTAATTTGTCATATCATTTTTGTTGCCTTTCTTATAAATTGCTTTAATTTCAGCATGTTTTAAATTTAGGGGGAATACCCCTTTTTCAAGAATTAAATTAATTATATGGGTTAGTGGATATGATATTTCAACAGAATATTGTTTTAAAATTTTTAAATGTATTTCATCTTCTCCTGTAGAATTAGTATTTTTTAGAGAATTTATCGTTTCGATAATTTCGTTTGGAAATGTTGGGTATAAATATAAGTTTTTGTTTATCGACCTACACGGAGAGAAAAGTATATTACTGATTACCATAATTATAATACCCTTTACTATATTATATATTACTATTTGGGACAACTATCTTGTATATTGCCAGTTACTATGCATATTTAGTAATTTTTAAATATCCATGTATATTAAACCTTAAGGTTATTATTCTCAACCAATTTTGTTTTTAATTCTTATTATAAATAGATAGTAAATTTTAAAAATAAATATAATAGATACGTAACCCATAAGAAACTAAATAGTGTATTTTATTATTTTGTATAATACATTTGATTAAATCATATAGTAAATATTACTATTTGTAGATAGTAAAATCAATTTACTATACGAATATATTCAAAATTAAAATACGTATTATACATTTTTGATCTAATAATATTGGTGTTGTAATCTTTACTAAAATTGTATAATAAAAAATACTATTTCGTATTACAATCTTTATATTTTACTGACGAATATTTAATATTGTTAAACTAAACATTTTTTAAAGTAAATTTTAATATATTTTTTTAACTATCTAAAATTTACTATACATTTCTCTCCGTGTAATAAATTTAATGTTAGAATCGGATTGATCGTTTATTGAATTGAAGTTAGCAACAGGTTTTTAGTCACGGGCTGAATTTAGTTGTCAAATGTCATGCAATCGTAAGAATAAAGTGCCTTTCTTGTAAAATTATACTAAATGTGAAAATTATTTTATTATCTCAATACAAAAATACAAAAGTGTTAAATAGTTTCTTGACGTCAATATTTGAAAAGATTGCATGAACGTTTGTACTGACCTGTTGATTTTGCCGTAGTAGTGCAGTCAACTAGATTTAACTGATAAAGCCTTAAAAAATGTGGGTACAGTGCCCATAAAACATTATCTTCTCTTTTACTGTGAAAACTTCTTCTATATCGATTGTTAGTCTATTTTCAAGGGATAAACTTTGATTTACACAGAAAAATTTGAGATATTAACGCTGGTAGATTCCAAGTTAGAAATTATAACGGGAATTACTTTGAGATTATGGATAATCACCATAAACTCTACAACTTGGTACAATATGGTATTTTTTGTTATAGGACCCAATGGTAAAAAAGTGACCAACCCATTGGTAGTGTGCTTAAATTTGACAGGCTGTGAAACGGAAGAAACTGGTCAAGCCAGAGTAAGATTTCAATTCGGGATTTGGGATGCCAGTATTAGACATTGGGAATGTTGCGACATATCCAGTGTGGTCCTCAACTTGGAAAATAGACAAGAACTGCTTTCAGTCGGGTACAAGAGCTTGGGGATATTAGATAGACACATCGACAGCAGTAAGTGTTACTAATTCGGAAAAATCTTCAAGTTCATGTTATTCTCTTTCAGACAAAAATGTGAGGATCAAAGTGAAAATCCAAATAATTCAAAGTGACGAGGAAGTTCACAGTTTGTCCCAGGATATGGCCAGATTACTGGACCTAAAAACGGACGATTCGAAAGACACCTATGTTGAATGCACGTGTGGGGAAAATGATGAAAAAATTTTGGCTCACAGTTGGATTATAAGGACGAGAAGTTCCAAGTTGGCGAAGAAGTTGGAAGAATATACTGATCCAGAGAATAAGGTAGGAAACGAATTAATTTACACCAAGACGGTGAGAATCTGAATCCTTATAAGGATAATAATGATAATTATAAGTAAATTCATTTTAGATTTCAATTTATGTTTTTTGTGTTAAGGTTTTCTTAATTTATTGTATTTTCGTTTAGAAGTGCCAAATGTTTATTTTTTGGTTTAAACAGTTTATTTTGTTGGGGCCTTTCCGTTAATGGGTTTAATGACTCGTTTGTTGATGATAGATTTATTGCCCTACTCAGCTTTCCTGTGAATGACCGCGATTATTGTGTTTTGTTACTATTCTCTTACTTATGTTAATATTGCACTTTGTTTATTTTTTTTAAGAAAAGTGCCTCACTTAGGGTTTTTAAAGGTACCTGTCGTGGCAAGTGTTGCAAATTATGTCTTAGTTAAGATTATAATTATAAGTATACTTATCGGATTATGCAGATGGCCCTTGCCTCTTTTGTATGTCTCGTGAAGAGTATCCAATTGACAGGTGGTTTTAAATTTTCGGAAAAATTGAACCGGCGGAAAAAACTGAAAAATTGATAAATTTTCAGAAAAATTGACTTTTTCATTTTATTCAAAGGGTAACGAAAAATGTTTTATGGATACTATGCGTTCACTGAATTTCCGATGCTGAATATAATCATAATATTATGATTATAATAATTATTCCTTTTACTTTAATAGCAAAAAAACATATTCGGTGCTGTATTAATATAACTTTCGTTTTATTTGACACTTTAATTTATAAAATTATGATTTAGTAATTTAACTTTATAAATCATTCATTATTTTGTAATTGGATAATTCAATTTTAGTTTTATTTTTTTCCTGATAGATTCTCACTTTTTCTCATATGTTTATATTTTCCAAAAAAAAAACAGGGTTTCTCCCCAATTTTTCCGTTTTTTTTTCGACACTTTTTGTCACTTCTGTAGCTATTCCGAAAGTTTCAAATTTTTTAATTTGTTTTTAACCTGAGCCCCGACCACTTTGAAAAAAAATAGAAAAAATCCTAAAAAGTAAGAAAAAGTCATAACTTTTTATAATTTTTTTTAACCAAGGTTTTTTCTTACTTTTTTATTCTTCTGAAGATCCTTACAAAGTTATTTAAATTAATTTTTAACCTGAGCCCCGACTACTTTAAAAAAAATCCTAAAAATTTGTACCGGGTTTTTTTTACTGTTTTATTCTTCTAAAGATCCTTTCAGAGTTTCGGATTTTTAAATTAATTTTTAACCTGAACCAAATTTTTTAATTTGTTTTTAACCTGAGCCCCGACCACTTTGAAAAAAAAAATTAAAAATCTTAAAAAGTATGAAAAAGTCATAACTTATTATAATTTTTTTTAACAGAGGTTTTTTCTTACTTTTTTATTCCTCTGAAGATACTACCAAAGTTTCAGATTTTTAAATAATTTTTAACCTGAACCCGGACCACTTTAAAAAAATTAAAAATCCTAAAAAAAGTGTAACAAAATCATATTTTTTTTCAAACAAAGTTTTTTCTTACTTTTTGACTCATCTGAAGGTATTCCCAAAGTATTAAATTTTTAAATTAATTTTTAACCTCAGACCCAAATACTTTTTGAAAAAAAATTAGAACAAATCCTAAAAAAGTTTTTCCAGTCATAATTTCTTATATTTTTTTTAACGATGTTTTTTCTTACTTCTTTACTCTTCTGAAGGCACTCAAAAGGTTCAGATTCCTGACCACTTTTAAATAAAAAATTTTAAAAATCCAAAAAAATTGGGAATAAATCAATTTTTTTATGCGTAGTTTTTTCTTACTTTTTTACTCTTCAGAAGGTATTCCCAAAATTTTATATTTTTAAATTAATTTTTAACCTGAGGCCTCTTTAAAAAAAATCAAAAAAATAATATAAATCATATTTTTAAATCATAAATTCAATTTTTCCCAAAAGAATCAATGTTGAAAAAAAACAGTTTTATCCCTAATTTTTCCAGTTTTTTCCGACACTTTAAAACCCTACAGGTGGTTAGATCTCCCGGCAGGGCCGGCATCTTTTCATTTTGACGTGTGGTGCTCATCTACAGTTGGTTGGTAGCAGTGGTTAATGGATGGGGGGTGTGGGTATTTCTTTCCTTGGGGGTTGCGGAAAGGAGAACAAAATAAAATTGGAATAGTTTTTTAGTCAATTTATTTATCAAACTCAGTCACATTTTATATACAGAGAAATGATTAAATTTATCGGTATAGTAGAAATACCCTAAATACATTTCGTGACGTGTTATTCCTACTACCAAGATGCATACACTTATACACAGTGGCGGCTCGTAGGTTTTGAAAGAGGGTGGGCACAAAAAACTTACCTTCTAATTTTTGTGTTTTAAATCATCTAACCCATGTTGAGTCCACGCACTAATCTCTTTTTTGAAAATCAAGCACATAAAACAAAAAAGCTTATCCACTCGTATTTATCATATACATACATATGTAGGTATATTTCTGTTGAATACTCTATTGTAAGATCGGCCTTTACCTGTGGAAGTGTAGTTTATTCGAAGATCGGGAATAGGTCTTCCTTTTTCCTTAAAAGTTTATCTTCATGTGACATCGGGCTTTTTAAAAGATTTCTGCACACAATTTACTTCCGCTGGTTCCATTATTGTTAATAAAAAATAAAGTTTATTTAAAAAACAAAACACGTAATTCACAACTCAAAAAAACACAACAGCGCGCGGCGACAAAAAAGTTATAAATCAAACCAACCGACAAAAACTCTCTGCAAACTGGCTACAAGAGACGAGGCGCTCGGGCACCGAGCCTCGGTGCCCCAAATTGACGATATATTCGCGTACTGCGAGGATAACCGAAGATCACCGAATAATGCTTGGAATGGGAACATTTAAAATTGTGCCCCGGCGCAGTGTTGCCAGATTCGCAATCTGGCCGGCACAGCGTTTGGCTCGCTGCAGCGTTGCGTAAAGAAGGTTTAAATCCAACCGTTTGAGCTGACGAAAGGAAGGTGTGAGACCATCCTTAAATAGTAATTACAATGTTGTTACGTAAAACTAAAATACTGCACAATGCAACAAATAACTTTTATTACTTTTTATCTGGGCGGTTGGGTGGGCACGTGCCCTTGTGCCCTTTAGAACCAGCCGCCACTGCTTATACATACTATACCGACCGACTTTGATACTTTGGATTCCTCAGCTTCAACCGTAAATTTGTAGAGGGCTTTGGTGTGTATCCCAGGCTAGCAGGATAAAAAATTTAGAGACCGCAAAAGAAATGCAATTTTTCTGCTGAAGATACGTGTAGTGCTGAGCACCACCATTTTCCTTTACGTGTGGTGCTTGAGCCCGCGAGCACCGCTATTGTCGCCGGCCCTGCCTCCCGGTAACCTCACCTCATTTTTCCTTGACCATAGGGTTGTCTTTAATCACTGTAGTTGTTACACTATAGTTTATTTGCACTTTATGAGTAACTAGATAACCCGGTAAACTTCGTTCCACCTAAAATTCTTACCTAAGCGATTATCAATCCTTATGAACCTTTCAACCAATTTATTGAACACTGTAAAACGACACGGAATTTTTTTCACAGTCGCTCAAATCTGTCAAACTTATCTTGAGAACTTTACTATTTAAACTAATTTAAACAACTGAGAACTTTACTATTTAAACTAATATCTCGCTAAAACAATTGAATGAATAAATTTGTGGTTATGTTTTTTTTCATTTAATTTGAAGCGCAGCTACGAACGCCATCTATTCAAATTAATCTAAAGTTGTACGAATTTTGATTTTCTGGCTCTTCCTTTCGGTTTTTCCTAATGTTTTTTTTTTTCAAAAGCAGTATTGAGGCGAACAAAAATGAATGAATTGAAATGAATTAGCGCACCTACGAACGACATGTATGTTTCTCGATGCGATACGATACAATTAACTGCGTCAAGTGTTCGAACTTGACTAAGAAATGATGACATTTCTTTTTTAGTCGATAAAGTACAAAATCGACTTGGCCGACTACCAGCACCATCTCATCCGAGAACTGGTCCGCTACATCTACACCGACAAGGTGGAGAACGCGGACTCTTTCGTCTGCAAGTTGCTACCCCTGAGCGTCAAGTACCAACTGCAAGGGCTGAAAGCGCTGTGCGACCGCACGCTGTGCGAAAGCCTCACCCCCAGCAACGTTGCCAATATTCTCCTGCTGGCCGATCAGTGCGGTTGCGAGAACCTGCGGAAGGCGGCGTTGCATTACTGCGAGGAGAGCGACGAGATCAAAGGCAGCCTGCAAATCGGTACGTTTTGTCATCATCAAAGTTTGCCAGTTTTTAAATTTTGTTTTCAGGTAAGAATTTGGCGTGGCGCGTCATGGAGATGGTCAACCCCGACTTGTTTTTGGAGGCCTGCGAGAGCATAGGGAGTTCTTCGTCGAACCTGGACAGCCCTGGTACTCCGGGCTCGTGGAGCGACTGAATTCTTCGTGATTAGGGCCTCTTTACACTTTACACCAATCGCCGTATCGTGTGAACCAGCCATAACAGTACAAATGATTTTCCATTTATGTGATTTATTTTTTTTGATTTTTTATTATGCTTTAGGATAATTTCTTATTGTTCAATGTTTACTTATATTTTATAGGTAATTTATGTATGTATTTAAAGAAATAGTTAATTTTTATTGTAAGTTATACCTATAGGAAATGTTAGGATATAATGGAGATGATAACCTACCCGGCACTAATGAGGTGGCGAGGTAATGATTATATATTTATATTAAATATGTATATTGTCAATAAAAAAATTTACATTTTAAAGAACGTTTATTATTAGTTCACATTAAATACAAATATAAAAAGGGTTAAGTAAAATAATACATATGTATATATAATAATAATAAAATCACAACAATATAATACTGCTTAAAAATTTAGGACATTACAGTTTCTACAAATAGTATAAAATAGAACATTCTACCAAATTCTAATACATAAATATAGATAGTAAGATATTTAGAAATGGCAGATTTTGACAGATAAATTAATGTCCTTAAAGAATATAAGACAAGGATAATATACCACAAATTATTTTAAAATCCCTGTTTTATACGCTCTTAGGTAAGGTATACGGTCAATTTTGTATTCGGGATAATTAGAAACCTCTAATTGAAATTTTCAGAATTGTGAAAATTATCCAGGTTTTTAACTTTTTTTAAAATGTTGATCCCTATTTTATATGCTCTTAAGGTTCCTAATTCCAAAAATCGGGATTCAGTTAATTTTTCTTTTCGGGACAAGATTTTAGAACTTTTAAAAATTAAAATTTTCCATTTTTTTTGTTAATTTTTTCCATTTTTACATTTTAGAACTTATAAAATTTTGTAATTTTTGATAATTTTCTAAAAAATTTAAATTTTTTTTTATAATTTAAAATTTTCCAGATTTTTACGTTTTTTTTAAATTTGATCCCTGTTCCATATGCTCTTAGGGTTTCTAATTCCGAAATTCGGGATTCAGTTAATTCTTCTATTCGGGACAATTTTATAACTTAAAATTTTCAAGAATATTGTTAAATTTGAAAAAACTTAAAAATTTCCAAATTCATTTAAAATTTGATCCCTGTTTAATATACTCTTAGGTAGGGTTTCTATTTCAAAATTGGGGATTCGGTAAATTTTTCTATTCAGGACAATCCCAAAAATTAAATTTTTTAAATTTTAAATTTTTTTTGATATTTTCTAAAAAATTGGATTAATTTAATTTTGAAAATGTAATAAACTCGATAATGTTGGAATGGAATTTTAGAAATGAACAAAATTTTTTAAAAATTTAATCCCTGTTTTATATTTAATTTTTTTATTTATTTTTATTTTCGAAAAAATTGGAAAATTTTAAAAAAAATAAATTTTTTCCTAATTCTATTAAAATTTGATCCTTATTTTAAAATATTCCGGATTTTCAATTTTTAAAAAAATTAGATCCCTGTTTTATATGCTCTTAGGGTTTCTAATACCAAAATTTGGGATTTAGTCAATTTTAGTATTTAGGACAATTTTTGAACTTTTAAAATTTTCAAAAAAATTGCAAAATTTAAAAAAGAAATATCCCAGTTTTATACTCTTTTTCTATTTGGGACAATCTCAAAAATCTAATTTTTTGATAATTTTGGAAAATTTGAAAAAAAATTTCCAAATTCTTTTAAAATTTGATCCATGTTTAATATACTCTGAGGTAAGGTTTCTAATCCCAAAACTCGGGATTCGGTTAATTTTTAGAATTTTTAAGATTTTCCAAATTTTAATGATTTTTAACCTCCAAAAACTTCTAGAATTTTAAAAATTACCATAACTTAAAAAATCATCAAAATTATGTCATGGATCATCCCGATATTTCTAACAATCCCGAAATTTATAGAAGAATCGATAAATACATAAATATTGGAAGCTCTAAATCTACAATCTAAAACACGACGAATTACTCGATACTAGCCTTGGTGGCGAAAGAGGTCAGAGACGAAATTTCGCTGGGCACCGACTCGGTAGGCAACCTGCTGAACTCCAGCTCCTCGCCGTCTTGACCCGTCGGGTCCGAAGGCCACTGCTTGTGGCTCGGCGCGTACAGCATCAGCATGCCGCAGATGTACACGTTCCACATCCCGTAAACCCCCGTGTAAAGCACCGAAGACACCTCGAAGTCCAACTCCTCGTCCCACTTGTTCTGCCCCTCGGCCACCTGCGACAAAATGAACGACACCACCGTGACGGCGGCGCAAATCAGCGTCACCGCCATCAGAAAATTGAAGCGGTAGATTATGCCCTCGTAGTGCAATCTGCGCGCCTGCGACATGCTCGGCAACACCGATCTCTTGATGGAGATGTTCTTGAAGACGCACCAAACCATGTAGCACAAAAACAGAAAATACATGCACGCTGATAAACCCGCCAATATTACAAACGACAGTGCCAGATGAGTGCCTGTTGGGGTGACCCAAATGGAGTAGAAAGGGTTGACCAATTGAACCCCGCGTTCGCACAGATCAAAAATAAGAAGCGACATGCAACCAACGGCGATTGTCGACAGATGTTTCCAGTACATTTTGAGGCAATTTTTTTCGCCGTTATCCTGTATCAACATGTGTTCCCCAGCGAAAACCAACCAGAAGGACAAAAGCATCGCATAGAATACACCTTGACGAACATCGCTCAATATAAGCATGTAAGGCATGTCGAAATACAACGAGAAGTACTCCAAGGGGAAGTTCAACACCGCCAAAGTGACACCAAGTGATAGAAGCATGTACTCCAACAAAGCTGGTGTGCGGGATAGTATAAAAACGCGCCTCCAGAACCACAAGAGCACCCCCAACACCAACGGGAAGAACACCGTCTTCATGCTGACGCAAACCTTGGTGAAACCGCCGTTCATAAAGATCACGTTTAACTGCACGTCGTGAACCCTCCCCAGTTCGCTGTTCTGGCTCTGCGGCAGCCTCACGTTCAGCAAGTAATAGTCGTGGTACAAGTTCCCGAGCTCGAACAGCGGCACCATCGAGCAGTCGTACGGGTAGCCGTCCTTGTGGTCCCTGATCGCGTCCAGATCGCAGTCCATGTGACGGTTTTCCTGCGCGTGCGCGTACCGCGTCCACGGCGTTCGAGCGCCGTCTAGCGTTTTGTCGGCGTACGCCAACCTAGCGTCTATCGACAGTTGTACGGTCGGGGTCAGTTTGCGGCCCTCCTGATAGATTTGCTCGAAGTGCACCATGCCGACGAGTTTTTGTTGCCAGCGCGAGAAATCGACGCGAAACAGCGGCATTTCGAAGACGAACACCTGGAAAAAAAAGTATGTTTGTCCGTTATATACCAGCTTTTTTTTCGAAGCTTTAATAAAACTTTTTTCGTTTTAATGACATACAAAATCATTATTCGCCAACAAATAGACATACAATCATAAACCGAGGGGTAAACCACTTTAAAATCTTAGAGACCAACGTTTAATGTTAGTGGACGTTGTGTTGTGATTTTTTTCCTTATCAGTTATTGTTATCCTTGGCCGTTAATTCGTAAGCGATTTTTTATTTTAAAAAATCAGTGGTTTACCCCTCGCCATAAACAAGACACATTTTTTTAGAAAATTTAAAGCTCCACAAAAAAGGTCTTTTACGTTTTTTTGTAAAAAAACATCCATCTAAATGATATCGGAAGTCAAATTTTGAAATAAAAAAATGTACCTACAGTGTGATAAAATATTTATTGTGCGATTTTAACCGGATTTGTTTTAAAGTGTAGATCTTGATAAACTGTATTTTTGGAGCAAAAGACGCCATATTAGTACAAAATACAAGGCCTACTATGTCAGTTTTTAAGAAAATTTTTAAGGAGTTCGATTTTGTCTTTCGTGAGTATCGCTCGATGAAAAAGTGTGAAAAATAGCTGACTTTGACCCAGGAGGGACAAAATTGGATTCCGGGAATAAAAATATTCCTGTATCTTTGGACATATGCAAGCTTTGACCTTTTAGCGAGGTATTTTGTGATTTGTACACGAGAATTAGTGGATGATTCAAGAGGAAAATTCACATGTCTGTGGGTGGACGGCTTCGTGAAGCACATGGACGTTAAAACTTGTTTCTGGTCAAAATGGTACATTGAAACCGAGACCATTAAGGCTTTTTGACACCAAGAAAGAAGAAGAAATTTTTAAGAATTCATATTAGCGATTTTTTTAAACAAAATCTAAGCACGGCACTGGATTCACCACCCCTCAAAACGACCCTATTCTAAATTTTATTGAAAAATTTTAAGAAAAAAAATGCACAATAATAACTACAAAAACTTATTTTGTCAAGTTCTCCATGTTACTATTATTTTAATTTTATTTCAATGTTTTTTTCATGGATAACTTGACAAAATAAATTTTGGTAGTTATTATTGTGCATTTTTTCCTTAAAATTTTTCAATAAAATTTAGTATAGGGTCGTTTTGAGGGGTGGTGAATCCAGTGCCGTGCTTGGATTTAGTTTAAAAAAATCTCTAATATGAATTCTTAAAAATTTACTTACTAGGCCTTGTATTTTGTAAAAATATGGCGTTTTATGCTTCAAAAATACAGTTCATCAAGATCTACTCTTTAAAACAAATCCGGTTAAAATCGCACAATAAATAAAGATTTTACAGGGGTGAGTCGCAAACAAATTGGTCACACTTAATTTTTTAAGTTATTTACAGCCTAAAAACAATTTAACAATTCAAACTTCGGGAAACAAATTTACAAAATTGTCGGATTTAAAATTATATTATTAATATCTCAGATTTTAATCGGGAAAATTTAGTAGTCGATAGAACGCTAACAAGTACACATGAAACAATAAACAAGACATATTTTTGGAGAAAATTGTAAGCTCTACAAAAAGGTATTTTAATTTTTTTTTAAAACCATCCATTTAAATTATCGTCAATCAGGTTCCAGCGCTTGACAAGGCACGACGCACTGTAGCGAGAGCTCTTAAAACGTAAAAGTTTAAAGATTAAAACCAACAAATAATTTTTTAAAAAGTGCAAACCAATTATAGTGAAACAAACAATTTTCATAAAGTGCAAACTAAAATAGTGTAACGGTCAATAAATTTTCAGCTTCTGGTCCTATAGGACCAGAAGCTATATATATATGTATACCACCTGTCTTGGACGCTTTTCACTAGACAAACAAAAGAGGTCAAACACTGCTTAAACTCTAGAAAAAAACAATAAACATCAGTAACAATAGAAACATTAGAAAGACAATACTAACTAAACACCATAAAATAATAAAGAAAAAAGACAAAACTTCCCAATCGAACTATCGCGGTGATACACCAAAGCTGTGTAGGACAATAAATCTGTCAACAACAAATGCGACCAATAATAAACATTAGACACACTGAATAAACTAACACATTAATCATTATAACCCTAACATAGTAAAAACAGCATAATAATCAAACTATATTGGATTTGTAAACATTAGATTATAACAGAATAATTGCGCTTGTCATTTGTTTAACTAATAAATAAATGCAATACTTAATTTTGGAATTTAAGAAAAAAAAAGACAAAACTCTAGGTACCACAAAACGTGCTTGGGCAAGACAATAACTAAAAAAAAATTCTTTGAAATTTCGCACTACTGCGGCAATAAACAATTTAAAAAAAAACATCAAAAGCTACAAGTTACATATCCAGCTACTGAACAATATATTGATGATTTTCGGCCTCAAGACTGAAGACACATGTGCAGGAACAATCCTACTTGGACACGAACAATATCGACAAAAATGTAGACCAAGACGTAGGCTCCTGCAGCAAAATAACAACTCCGGAACTCCATACAGTAATCCCAAATGTTTGGAGTAATACTAACTGCCTGGTCTAGGGGGGTCCTGCGTCGTACTTAGATTTAAGTCGGCGTAATTGTCCCTCAAACACCAAACTGTCTATCCCTCCCTTCATTACCCTACTGGACGTATAGCATCGGCTCGGCGAACCCGGGAATGGCTACTAAAACTATTGGCATTTCGCTCTCGAGCCCTAATTAGGGGACAGTACGGGACGCAATGGACATTCGCAACCAGCAAACACGGGTGAAGCCGCTCCGTTGCTGGTGGCGAAAGAAAACCGGCGGTTATACGTCTTTTATACTCATACTCATAAAACCATCCCTTTAAATTATATTTTTTCTTAATTTTATAAGTTGGCTTTTTACACTTGGGTAAAATCAAAATTATTTACAGCACGATATCAATTTAACAATTCAAACTTCGGGAAACATATTTACAATGTTGTCGGATTTAAAATTATATTATTAATATCTCAGATTTTAATTGTGAAAATTTAGTAGTCGATAGAACGCTAACAAGTAGACATGAAACAATAAACAAGACATATTTTTGGAGAAAATTGTAAGCTCTACAAAAAAAGGTATTTTAATTTTTTTTCGTAAAACCATCCTTTTAAATTATATCAGAGCTCAAACTTTGAAATTAATAAAAAAAAATGTTTAACCCTTTGTTTTTAATTAAAAAAAGAAACTTTTTGCAAAGCAACCCCCAATTTTGTCGAATTCTTGTCAAACAATTAGACACCATTTTTGAGACACCCTAGGTATTTTTTGCAAGATTTTTTCTGATATAAATTAAACATCTACCTGTCGGATATGGCAGGTAGCAAATAACTCCGAACAAAATAATGGAATTTAAACATTCAAAACAGCATGAATATTAACTATTGATTACCTAAATCAATTTGATTTTAATAATTTTATTTAAAACGCCCGCCTTTTTAAATGGTTTTCATTTGTTATTTCTGACAACAAAGTAGTTGTTTCAAACGGGTAAGTAAAGACCCTTATGTATAGTAAATTTAAAAGTAAACTACGTACACGTCATCAATCAGCTGATCGGGCACGGTTGTCAATGTGATGCTAAAATCCTTGCATCAAGGGAAAGTGGTAGTGCAACTACAGGGCGATAGATGGCGTTTACATGAATAATACCAAAATGTCAAAAGTCTGAGTTTTTATAACCTATATGATGCACCGCCAAAAGTATGTTTTTAGCCATTTTTAAAGACATTTTCTGATATAAAACCCAAAAATTTTGCCATCTAAAGTCAGTCTCTGGTATATATATTATTATTTCATGTATCCAACATATATTTTGTTAAATATTCTAATATATAATTAATAATAATCCTATTTACCTCTCTAACAGCTGTTAAAGGTAACAAAGGTCCATTATTATCCCGTTCTGCCTCAAAATAGCGTATTAAGGATGACACCAACTCTTGACTCCGACTATTTAAATGCTTCGGCATTTTAAATAGGTATAGGAAACACAAAAAAACGATATATAACAAACACAAAAACGGCAATGAAAACTTAAACGATATAAAATAACACAAACAACAAACAAAATAAACGAAATAATACACGAATTAAATGAAATATTCAAAAACACAACTGACAGCTTCGAAATTCTAAAACGTCAAATTCTTTTTTATGTGTCATTTAAATATGAAAAATTTGAATGTAAACATGACAACATCACAATTGTTGCCAACTTAATTTGGTTAAAATGCATTCAAATATTCAATTACAGACTCCGATTTAGTAATTTAGTGTTGGTACCAATGCGTAAAATTTTTGTTTTATTGATGACGTGTACGTAGTTTACTTTTAAATTTACTATATAAAAACATAAGGTTCATATTCGCATGTTCAATTAACTACGCAACAATTGTTTATGTTTACCCGGCTTTCTTATCGATTTTACCGGCAATACTTACAATATTCTTCGCTGAAAGCCCCGTGGTGTTCCCCAAGTCATGTAAACTCTCCTTGCACTGCCTCGTAAACCACCGATTTTCGTCTTTGTTGTCCGGATTCCGGTCCACGCAGAAAGTGGCCCCAACATTTTGAAAATTGGCCGGGCTCGGAGCGATCAAACCGACCAAAAAACACGCCAACTGGAACGTCAGCAATATTCCCACTAGAACGCTGAGCTTTTTGCCACTCAAATTCTCCAGAATAGTTCCAGGCATTTTACAGAAGTTAACTAACGCATTCCACTCGAAAATAAACAATAAAGTTGGCCGTAGTGGATTTTGTTTTGACGTTTCGTTCAGTTGGTAGCGCCTATTACTGCTAAAGTTCGCCACACACAAGGTTTTAGTATGGATTTTGTTCGGTAAAGGTATCCGTACACGTACTTTGCAAAATTTAAGGGTTGACACACACGTATTTTTTTAAATAACGTTTTGTTTATGGGCGATTTCAATGCAGTGGATAGGTAAAATGTTGTTCCTGGTTTTAAATCATTTATCTCGTTTTCTATTGGTGGGACAAAAAAAGTGTTAAAACAAAAAATTTTACAAAATACTTCTTTACAGGCAAAGTTGGTGTATTTTGTTTCTAAAAAGATAGAGGGCGCCAAATTTAATAAAAATTATTCATTATTATTATTTTTGAGGAGCTGCAACTCGGAAACGGTTGACCAAATGGTATTACATTTTATATTTTTTATATATATTTCTGAAATCTACAACTATTTTATTAAGCATTTTTAGTTTTAATCAATTTTGGAGGGTGAAAATATAAAAAAACTATTTTTTGTCAAAAGTTTACCCCCCAATTGTTTAATTAAATTACAATAATAAAACACTTTTTTTGTATTTTAAATCTTTATTTTTTTAAAACAAAATAAAAATTAAAGCTTCTCAAAAATAGAAACCAATAAAAATACAATAATTAAAAAAATACACACAAAAATGTATGTCAATTAAAAAAAAACAAACAAAATTATAAAATTTTTGGCAGTCTTATATTATTACCAAAAAAATCCTAATATTATTTACAAACTTAAAAAATAAAACAAGAATTCACAAGTTACTGTATTGCCATGTTGCCATATTTAAATTTTTAGTGATGTGAATCTCGTAACCTAACATTATTACATACAAAAAAAACAAAAGGCTACAGTTCTATTTGGAATTGATCGTCCTCGTGAATCTTGGGCTTGGCAACGTTGCCGCGTTTAGGGAGGTTGCAGTATTTCGGGGGGGATTTGTTGGGGCTGCCCCTCAGTAGATTTTCTGGAATGTCGAAGGCAGGCGGGGTCCTCGAAATTGGGGAGTTTTTCAGGTTCATCAGCACGTTTCTTTCGTATACAATTTTGGTTCCTGAAATTTTTTTTTAGTTGAATACTTTTGTTATTATAAAAATAATAATTGTAACTTCTGCTACTTTTGTGTCAAAATTATTTTTAACCATTAGTCACCAAGCCACTTTAAATAATACGTATATTTATGGGAGTTTAATTTAATTTAGCAGATGGCCGATTACTAATGTTGTTTTGTTTTGTTTTTGTTATACCGGATGAGACATTTTGTTTATTTTTTACAACACGTGTTAAAATTCTAGCCTATAACTTTTTTGTGTTAGGTTTGCGAATATGGCGATGGAATGTTTGGAATCGTAAAACATTGTTTAAAAGATTCTTTAACATTTTTTAACAAATTACCTTGGAAAGCACAGGGCAAATTAGGCTAAGTTGAAAGGTTAATAAATTTTTTATTTTAAATGTAGGTAACACACGGTATTATTTACATAATCAAATACCTATAGGTACTATAGTAGATTAAAAATCCTTTCGATTCATGTTACTATTCCCTATACCTAAAGTTAATAATTTCAGAGATACTTAACAATTTCTAAAATTTTAAATAGGTATTATTTTGTATCAAGAAACCTGTGAAGGGTGAGTTTCTATGGTTACCAAGTCATTGTTTTCATGGCGTAAATTTCATCAAGGCAATACCTATATAAATTTTTAAAAAATAACCATAAACTATATAGTTTATTACGACAAATAAACAATTTACCTTGTAACATAATAATATAATTAAAATTAAAACTGAGCATAAGTTTCTCGTTTAATAAATTACAATCAGTGGGCTGAAAACCTTCATCATATTTTTCACGAAAGGTTAATAAACATAAAATGCAAATTAACAATTGAAAAATCTTTAATTACTAATACTAACAAAGCCATGCATTAATACAAATACTGCCTCATTATCGTTCAGATCTGGTCCCCAGTGACTATTATTAATAGTCTATTAACTGTTTTTAAATTTTAAACGACATAAGTTTTTTTTAAATAAAATTCGTACAAAATATGTTGAAGTTTGTAAACAATAAAATCTTTAATCTTAACCCAAATAGATAATTTTTATCACGCCGCATATGTAAATGTTATTTTTATCGTCCAACTTTTTTGACACAACTTTATTAGAAAAAATAAATGTGCGAAATAAATATTATAATAGCACGGCTTTTGTCGAGCCAAGTTGAACGAAATTCAAGGTCAGAGCGAGCAGTTCACTAGCATTGCAGACACGTGTATCGAAATTTATGGCATGGCGTTAAAAATTTGCATTGAAAAAAATAATTACGTAACCAAGATGTATGGTGTTATAAAAGCAATACGCAATTTATGGTCTAGACTGGACCAGAAGTTCATTAATAGTTATGGTACTCTTGGTACCTACTTCCTACTTATTTTTAAAGTTATAGTCAACAGAGATTTAATTAGCCTTTAAAATGCCTATAAAATTTATAAATACTTTTGTTTTCTACATAACAAAATTACCTAATGAATTATGTTAAACATTTACGTTTGTTTATTACACTTCCTAGTTAAAATAACGATATAAACCTATTTTTAGATTTATATTAAAAATATCATTTTTTTAAATTAAAGCCAACGAGAAAAGAAAAAAATACAAAAAATTATTATTTTTTGAGCCCCAAAGTACTATACACAGTATACCAAGTTTCCTGTCAAATCCAAAAATCGTTCGCACAACCATTTGTAAAAAATAAACCTTATTCTTTCAGGGTTGTCATAAACTGTCAAATGTCAAATTTAAGGTAAATTTACCATAACCAACAAATATACTACTAGGTACCCACAAATTAACCTTAAAATTGACATTTGACAGTTTGATGACAGCCCTAGAATAAAATAACGTTTATTTTTTACAAGAGGAATAAAATGGTTGCTCTTAAGGCCTCTTTTTAGGCGTACAAGTGCCTCTGTAAGAAACACAACGTTTTAAAACGATTAATAATGTGTACCTACCTATAACTAGGGTTGGGGCAGTTGAAATTTTCAAATGAAAATTTCAACTTTGAAAGTTTCAAACTTGAAATATTTCATTTAGTTGGAAAAGTGAAATTTTTAAAAATTTCAAATGAAATTTTCAATCCGAAAATTTCAACATTGCCTGTGAAAGTTTCAGAAATTTCATTGAAAGTTTCGCAATTTACTGAAAATTTCGCATAAATTTCACATGCGGCCTCCCCTGGGACCTTTAATAATAATTTACAACAGATTCCGAATCGACTAATATATTAACTCGTTCTTATAAGAACGAGTTATCAAGCGTCTGGGCGTTTTTGTTTAGTTTGGCTTGGATTTGAATACACTATAAGTAATTATTGTTACTTATATGCATAAATTAATTTTAATAATTTAATTCAGTTACCAATTTAATTTGTAAATTAAATCAGACTTTAAAATTTTTTAAAAGTCATGATTAATTTAAACTTTTACTTTTGCTATAATTGCATCGGAAAACGGATAAAGAATGCCTTTGGCTTATAAAATTTTGATGAAGTTCAATTTTCGTAAAATTTCAGTAAAATATTTAAAAATAATAAATATATATAAATATAAAACAATGAAAGTGGCACAATCTCATTAGCTTACCAAAAAGTACTATATCTCTTTTAGTTTTAGTAATTTTAAAAATATTATAAAAGGAAATCTCAAGAAATTTGTGGTAAACATAGGTATTTACTATTTATATAATTGGTGCAGGGGCCCACAGAGGGGTAGGAGGTAAGAGAGGCAATTTGCCATGGTCCCCGAGTGGGCTTATTTCAATATTAATATATTACACTTAAAGTGATTTATTGAAAGTTTTAATAAATTTAATGAAATTTCAGAAATTTAGGAAATTTTAATAAATTTCATAAATGTCATGAAAATTTCAAGTGAAATTTCAAGTACAAGCAAAAAGTGAAATTTTCCCAACCCTACCTATAACCAGCTCAAACCCGAAATATTTTGAGAACCGCTTTTTTTTCAAATTACAAAAAGGTATACTAAATCTATTTATAAAATTATTGGCATTACCTGTTTGTTTTATTTTTGTTCCAAACTAGGTCAGTAAGTACTAAAATACACTGAATATTTTTTAAAACAATTTTATGTTTAGCATTGTATTAATAAAAATCAAAACAAACAAACATATATTTTGACTTGAAATAACCCATATGCTTCTTGATAAGGTATACCTATATCGCATGTATTTTATATTTATAAACAGCTTTAGCACATTGTTATCTATCAAGGACTTTATAAAATATATTGATAAAAATTCGATTGAATGTTTAATTTGTGGTCGTTTTTTTAAACTTTTATATAACTACAAAGACGCAATTTAATAGAAGAAAATAAAATAAATATAAAATATTTTTTAGTTCATTTAACCTTGATTTTTATTTTTAAAAATAAAAGTGTTTTCTTGTTATTAAGTAATTCTAATTTTAGTTACACTGATCAACAGATAGTTCCGCATAGGTACATAAATTTACCATTTAACGTTTAAAAAATTAAATTCAAACAATTTATTTTTATATTAACCTATACCTATATAAACATATATTTATATCACAAATGATTATTATTGTTTATTTTTTTAAGTATTAACAAAACAATTTATTTTCGACATTTAGGTACCTACTTTATTTTTAGATAAGAGGATATTGTTATGATTACTATCTAAAGTGTTTAACTACTTATGTCAAGTGGTCTTATAGCAAAATAAACAAATTAAAAAATGATTTTAAACAGTCTTACCCCCAGGCGTAGTAGAATAGAGGGTGCCCCCAGGCGTGCTCGAATATTGACTAGGCAGTTCTGAAGCATCGGCGAATAGCACCTTTCGTGTAGGTATAGCCTTAGAGTCCGTGGCTTGTCTTGCAAAGGGTGATGCCGACATTATTTCAATATTTTTTTCAAAAAATAAAAATAAAAATCACAGATATTCTAATAAAATAAAAAAGTCACTAACTGTCGAAGCCAGATATCAACCAACTAAATCGTGGAACGCGTGTTTTGAAAATTATATAAGTTTGTTTTGTTCCCCCCCTCACAGTCGAGCGCGTTTGTTTTTTTGGCGTGCAGTGTTGCCGGGCTGCATTTTTATGTTTATGTGTTAGTGGGTACTTGTAAAAATAGAAATAAAAAAACGAAAATGTAATGCTGTTGTTATTGTTTTTTGTTTTTTAAGACGTAGCACACGCGTGTATATATAAGTTTTTTTGTTATTAAGGAATGTTGTTTAGTATTTAAATTATTTTAAATTTTACTAGGTATAACATTATCAAAAAACGTGGTATAATGTAAAAACAAAACGCAATAGAAATTATCGTAAACCAGTGTAACAAACTGACACACCTCTTTATGAAATAAAAATTAAATTATTAATTATTCATTGCATAGTAGTACCTCCCAAGATACAATTACGTTTATTTTGGAAAAAATCTTTAAAAACGTGTTCAAGTATACACTATTGGACAAAAGTAAAGCAACAACTGTATAAAAAATCTAACTCCAAAACGCCTTTATTCTTTAAGAAATTTTGGATAAAAATACTTGAACTTAAATCTCAGTTTACGTGTTTAAGGGTTTTTTGAGAAAATATTTTTAAAGCCCATTTTTTTTAATATTAAAAAAACGTTCGAAAAATAACTTTTACGGAAATTTTTTTTCAAGTAAATAAAAAGTATTCTGTTAATGACCGTATTTTTGTTAGTATACTCTAAAAATTTTGTACAAATCAAATGAACAGTAACGAAGATACAGCGCTTCAAATTTGGTAAAAATTACCCTTTTTTGATTATTTTGCTGAAAAGTGGTCATTTTTGACGACTTTGAATCGCTGTATCTTCGTTACTGTTCATTTGATTTGTACAAAATTTTCAGGGTATACCTACTAACAAAAATACGGTATTTAACAGTATATTTTTTATTTACTTGAAAAAAAATTTCCGTAAAAATTATTTTTTGAAGGTTTTTTTAATATTAAAAAAATGGGCTTTAAAAATATTTTTTAAAAAACCCTCAAACACGTAAACTGAGATTTAAGTTCAAGTATATTTATCCAAAATTTCTTAAAGATTAATAAAGGCGTTTTGGGGTTAGATTTTTTATACAGTTGTTGCTTTACTTTTGTCCAATAGTGTAGGTACCTACGCCAATAAGAAATCCGACAACCTCGCATCAAATTATCTCATTACGAATTTATTATTTTAGGCACGCCAAATTTTGTTTACTTTTATCTTTTACCAGAATTTTAACCTTATGTCCAAGAGTTCTTGCTTACGCCTTTATCACACAAATCGCCTAAAAAACTTAATAACAACCTAAATAATATTTAATTAAATATGTAAAATACAACAAAATGAATAATAGAAACAAATTAATTCGTTGAACTTTGTTTTTATAGCTGTACCATTCGTTTAATTTATGAGATGCAAAGAATTAAATGCGCAGTAAGTTTGCACAATCAACTTTTTCTTGGCTAACGTAAGAATCATTAAAAAACGTGTCTTTTATCCGTATAAACTTTTATCAAACGTTTAGTACATGATTTTGCTGCGTAAAAAGAGTTGAGTAATATTTGCACTATCAGTTTTAAAAAATGCTCATTATAATGATACTATGATATATTATGTATCAACGTAACGCCATTTTAGTTGCGATTTTTAATTAGGCGAGTCTTTAATAAAAACAAGTATAGATCTATATAGAAAAGTTAAGGAACTCATTCTTCCACAAACATTATAAAGAAATAATTTATTATCGCCCGGAAAATCAGGTTACCTATGAACGTGTATGGACTCCTTTATCGCTCAAAATCCATACTTTGACGTTTATCTAGTAAACATAACCCTACTTATATGTCACAATTTTTTTTAAAATGTGGCGTAATACTCTAAGGATTTGTTATAATTTAACAAAATGCACGAATAATACACCGGTGAACATTAAAAAGTGCGTATTTTACAAGTTTTAAGCGTTTTTATGACTTATTTGTGTTTTAGTGGTATACAACGTAATGGGTTAATTTTAAACCAAATTCAAGCAAGAAATATAAGTTTAACTGGCAATTTATCGATGTTTATACAAACTCAAGACACGCCAAACCCAAACAGTCTTAAATTTTTACCAGGGCGATCAGTTTTGGAAAAAGGGCAAACAATCGATTTTCCTAATGCACAAGCTGCTTATTGCTCCCCTCTGGGAAAATTATTGTTTAGAATTGAGGGCGTGAAAAGCGTTTTTTTAGGGCCGGAATTTATCACCATAACAAAAATTGACGATGAGGTGGATTGGAAGATTTTGAAGCCTGAAATATTTGCCACAATTATGGACTTTTTTGCCAGTAATTTACCGATTTTGAATGACGCCACGCCGAATTCAGATACACGTAATTACAATTTATATTTTAGGTTTTATTGATTATAAATGTACTGGGTTTTAAGTAAATATAAATATTAAATGTATTTTTAAATGTTAAATCATATTAGAAAATGTAAAACGCATTTTAGAATGTCAAAAACACATTTTAGAATGTGTAAAATATAAAACTCCATCTAAAAATGACACAAACACATTTTTTTAGGGTCAAGCCATATTCCAAAACGAATTTTAAAATGACAATACGTCACCCTAATATTACAAGGTTGTATGTTAAAAAAAACGAAAAATTTAAGTCTATGTTTCTACAGGATTATACGTGGCCTACGCTTCCCATACCAGTTAAAAATAATTCTATAGAATGTATATTCTATGTATACATATATATAGAGTTATTTTCAAGTTGTATGTCAAGGGTGGATTACATAAAACCTTGTAGAAGTATAAACTCAAATTTTTCGGATTTTTAACATACAACCTTGTTATATTAGGGTGACGAATATTTATTTTACAATCTCAAAATTTTATATGCATTTAAAAACATATTCAAGACTGTCAAAAACATATTTAAGAATGTCAAAAATGTGAAAAGCACACTTTAAAATATCAAACATATTCAAAAACATTTTAGAATGAGAAAAACACTTTTTAAAATATAAAACCCCATCTAAAAAATGCCACAAACACATTTTCTAACGTCAAACCTTATTTTAAAATTAATTTTAAAATGACAAGATTTATTTTCCAGTGTCAAAAATTTACATATATGCATTTAAAAACGTCAAACATATTCCTATTAGAGAATGAATTTTAAAATGACAAGATTTATTTTGCAATGTCAAAAATTAATATGCATTAAAAAACGTCAAACATATTCAAGACCGTAAAAAATGTGAAAAGCACACTAAAATGTCAAACATATTCAAGAATGCAAAAAACACATTTTAAAATATAAAACCACATCTAAAAATGCCACAAACACATTTTTTAACGTCAAACCATATTCCAAAACGAATTTTAAAATGAAAAGATTTATTTTACAATTTTATAAATTTATATGCATTTAAAAACGTCAAACATATTCTAGACTTTCAAAAACATATTAAGAATGTCAAAAATGTGAAAAGCACATTTTAAAATGTCAAAAACAAATTTTATAATGTTAAAAACACATTTTAAAATATAAAACCACATCTAAAAACGCCACAAACACATTTTTTTAACGCCAAATCATATTCCAAAACGAATTTTAAAATGTAAAGATTTATTTTAAAATGTTAAAAATTGAAATGCATTTAAAAACGTCAAACATATTCAAGACTGTCAAAAACATATTTTAGAATGTCAAAAATGAAAAAGCACATTCTAAAATGCCAAACATATTCAAAAATGTCAAAAACAAATTTTAGAATGCGCATAACACATTTTAGAATGTTAAAAACACAATTTAAAATATGAAACCACATCTAAAAATGCCACAAATTTATTTTACAATGTCAAAGTTTTATATGCATTTAAAAACGTTAAACATATTCAAGACTGTCAATAACATATTTAAGAATGTCAAAAATGTGAAAATCATTTTAAATGTCAAACATTCAAGAATGTCCAAAATATATTTTAGAATGCGAAAAACACATTTAGGAATGTAAAAAACACATTTTAAAAATGACACAAACACATATTTTTAAGGTCAAACCATATATCAAAACGAATTTTAAAATGCCAAGATTTATTTTACAACGTCAAAAATGTATATGCATTTTAAAACTGTCAAAAACATATTTAAGAATGTCAAAAATGTGAAAACACATTTTAAAATGTCAAATACATTCATGAATGTAAAAAAACACCTTCTAATGTCAAACCCTGGAGGTAAATGTTTGTTTTTTTAGAAATTAATGATGATGATTCAGAAATAGTTCAAATGATAAAAGAACTTCTTGACACCAGAATAAGACCCACAGTCCAGGAGGATGGAGGTGATATAATTTACATAGGCTATGATGATGGTATTGTCAAGTTAAAAATGCAAGGGTCTTGCTCGAGTTGTCCATCATCGGTTGTGACATTAAAAAATGGCGTGCAAAATATGTTACAATTTTACATCCCTGAAGTGCTCGGAGTGGAGCAAGTATTCGATAAATCCGATGAAATAATCGAAAAAGAGTTTGAGAAACTTGATAAAATTATAGAGGAGAAAGAGAAAAATCAACAATAGATTTTTAAGTAATGTGTGTGTAAATATTATTAATTAATAAGATGTAAATAAACAGTAAAAATAATTGATATTTTTTTCTTACATTTGCAACCCTTACAAGCGTCAAAGAAATGTCAAATTTACAAATATGTATCCACTGAACGTAAAAAACGATGCACAAGTGCTAAAGAAGTTCAAATTGGTTTTTTTGGGAGAGCAAAGTGTTGGGAAAACATCTTTGATCACGAGGTTTATGTACGACAGTTTTGACACGAATTATCAGGCCACAATTGGCATCGATTTTTTGTCTAAAACTATTTATTTAAAGGACAGAAATATTAGGTTGCAGCTGTGGGATACTGCAGGACAGGAGAGATTTAGGTAAATATAAACGTTACATATTAATGTCAATAAATCACTTAAGAACGTGAAAAGTACTTTTATCCGAAATCGGCAGTGAAGTAGTCAACAATCGGTAGTAAAGTAGAACTTTACTGCCGATTTAAAACGAGTATTGTATGCAACACATTATACATTTTAAGATGTGTCTACTGCTCCTCAGCAGCAACTAAATAATATTTAAAAAAAAGCACCGTCGCGAAGGTAGATTGGACATTTTCATAAAATGTTTAATAAAAATAAAAAGTTAATTTTATTAATTAAATTAAAAAATCATCGCGGCGGGCAAATATGTCATAACCGTGGCAACAAACAGTATACGTAGACACTTCCTACATTTTATCATAAAATGACATTTGATTTGATCATCAATATTAATTATTATTATTATTTTATTATTATTATTATTATTATTATTATTATATAATTATATAGTATTAATAATGCTGGATTTATGCAGCACACATTAACATTAAGGTAAGATTAAGATTAACATTAACATTAAGAAGTTAAATGAACGGAAGCTTTTATGCAACACATTAACATTAACTTTAGCATTAAGTTAACATTAAGAGATGGCCAATCTTCTTAATGATTAATGTTAATTTTTATTCCTCCTGCGCAGGATTGCGGCGCAATTTTTAAATAAACCGTGTCAGTAATGCCAACATAGCCGAAAATAAAATGAAACTAATGCTGAATGATTGATTTTTTATTCAATGATTGTGTTCTTTGGTTTATTGTTTGACGTGGAGTTTATAGTTTTCATTTATTTTACTAAACAGATGCTAAAACGGGATTAAAACAAAATTCAAACAAACCAAAAATGTCAGATGTCAAAATTACTTTAACTTATACGCATGCTTAATTTCCTACTAATTTTGCTGCATAAATACCCTCCTATTAATGTTAAATTAATCTTAATCTTAATGTTAAAGTTAATCTTAATGTTAATTTGTGCTGCATAAATCCACCATAAATTCGATTTCGGATAAAATTTAATATGCACCTCGGGTTTACTGCCTTGATACATAAATAACTATTTTCTACTCCTACCTTTAAAACGACGATCTTTCCATCTTTTAAATAAACAAGCTATGACTTGTTTATTTACGGGTTGAAGTTATAACTATATAGCTATTACTCAGTTAAGAAATACTAAATGTGGAAATTATTTTTTCTACTCCCATTATATTCCGTAAAGTGTTACAGAATGAAATATTTTATCATCGGGTGACAGAATAAACACTCGTGGCGACATCTCTGTTTTTAATATCTAACAAATTTTAGACAGATCCAACCTCACTTTCTTCCAATTAAATTATTTTTTTATGGTATTTTTTGGAAACGTAGAAAAAGTATAGTCTGAAACACGTTTGGAATTGCATATTCCGCTCTCGTGAAACCGTCAAACTCGCCTTCAGCTCGTGTGACAAACTCTTCACTCGAGCGGAATATGCTGTATTCCAAACTTGTTACAGAATATACTATTATTATATTAATACAAAATTGATACATTACTAATATCCTATAATATGCCAAACCATCATGGACATATTATTTGCCTATGCAACCATATTTTAAACAAATTTAAAAGCCAAAAACATTAAGAATGTTAAAATTATTTTTGAATGTGAAAAATGCCTTCTTCTTCTTCTCTACTCTACTACCAACATTGCCAACACAAGAAACGGCGCGTAATTTAATCTTTGTTAATGTTAATAATATTGTCTCCTAGGTCTTTAATACCTTCCTACATTAGAGACTCTTCAGTAGCTGTAATCGTTTACGATGTAACCAATACAAACTCGTTCCAACAAACGACAAAATGGATTGATGACGTCCGAAGGGAGAGAGGGGACGAAGTTATCATTATTTTAGTCGGTAATTAAGTGGTGGAACGCCCCCTTAAGGATTTTTTCGGCGGAAATGCCCCTTAAGTAATTTTTTTAGGTAACAAAATAGACTTGGAGAGCATACGCGAAGTTCCTAGAGAGTTGGGAGAAGAAAAAGCCGAAGAATTGCACACTTTGTTTATAGAAACGAGCGCTAAAATAGGTTATAACATAAAACAACTGTTTCGAAGGATCGGGGAGGCCCTGCCAGATAGAGAGGATAACTTTGTACAAAATGAGTGTCGGCACGAAATAAACTTGAACACGCCTGAAGAAATAAGCACTAAACAATGTTCGTGTTAAATTTTTTGAATAAATAAAATAAGTCCTACAAAAAATTTATTTTCAAAAAATTTACAAGATAATAAAGATTTAGCTATTTTAACCTTATTTGGAGGATTATTCTGTACTTATAATAACTAACTCACTTCTCCTTCCTCCACTTCTCCGCAGTCGCAAAATCTGTCATGGGTTTCCCGGAAATTCCACAAGTACCGATGCCAACCCTCCCGTTCACTGAATCAGGCGAGGCGAAGATGCTTTTGGTTTTCAGGCCGCCTTTTTTGCTTTTGACCGCCTTATTGGAGAACGCTAACCACTTTTTCTTCTCCCCTTCTCGCTCCTCCTCCAACTCCTTAAAACGCTGCTGCTTCTTTTGTTTCTTCTTCTTCAGGTATTCTTTGTTGTTGAGCTTCGCTTTGCGCAGCTTCTCGGCTTCGGAGAGCACGCGTTTCTGCCCCGTAAACTCCCTCAACTCCGCCAATGTCGTTACGCCCCTGTTTTTGTAAGCTTCGAAGGTTACATTAACCTGACCGTCGGGGTTTATGACGTCGATCGTGGCTTCGTAGTATTGCCCGTTGTCGTTCCATTTGGCGCTGCAAGTATCCCCCACGCGCCACTTCTTTTGGGCCTTGTTTTTGGCCACAAACTCCTCTACGGCCAATAAAGACTTTGTAATCTCATCATCGTCTTGCACACCTACAGGTTCTGTGTACTCAGGCTGGTTTGCCGCTTCTTCAGCCTTATTCTTCAAATCCAAACTCAAATCGATAACTTCCTCCAAATCTATTTTTAATTTTTGCAGCTCTTTATTGTCAGGATCCGTCAGAAGGGCAGCTTCGACTTGTTGCAGCTGTAGCTGGTAATTTTGCAATTCGTCACTCATTTTTGTGTTAGTTTAGAACGTATTTTATTAATTTTTACCTTTATTTAGGCTGTATCCTCGTTTATTTCGATTAATTTACGTCAAGATTCACAAAACATTGTTTGACATTTGCGATACAAAGCTAACTTCATGGCGGTGAACAATGGTTACCAATGTTAAGTAAATTGAGAGGGCGATGTTGCCATTGTTACATTTTATAGATAAAATGCGGGAAATATGAGAAAGTTTTTAACACACAATTAGCAGAGTTTAGAACACATTTAAGAATACTTTTAAAGATGTTTTAAAATCGCACAAAATGTCAACCACATTTAAGAATGTCAAAATTAATTAAAAATCGAATATTGTTCGTCAACAATTTTTTTTGTCAAATTTTTAGAATACTAAGAATTTTAGAATAAAAAAACATTTTTTATACGTCAATATCATATTTTAAAAAATCATTTTTTTTTGGATATATTTACGAATCAAACAAATTTTAGAATTCAAAAAACAAATTTTTTGTCAAAATCCCATTTTAGAATGTCAAAAACAAAATTTAGAATGTACCTAGTGTTATTTTAAAAATGTGAAAACCTTATTAAAGCAATCAAAAATACTAACCTGCATATGTTTAAAATGCTATTTAATTTGAGCTCTATAAATCATTTCGACGAATTTTGTTTAGAATATTTATTTTATTATATTTTTGAATATCAAGGAACATTTTGGAATGTCAAAAACATTATAAAATGTCAAAACAGATTTTGGAATGTAAAATAAGTTATTTAAAAAAACAGTCAAAACTTATTATTTAAGAATTTCAAAGTCGTTTAAAACAACTGCTATAATGTTAATAACAAAATTTGTCAAAACATTGTTTAGAGGTCAAATACAAAATTTAGCATATGTAAGAATCTCAAGGAACATTTTATGTCAAAATCATTCGTTAAATGTCAAAACTCTACTTAAAAAATTTTAAAAAACGTTTGGATGTAAGGTATGTAATAACCAGAGACAAGGGTCTCTGGTAATAACAGTGGTTTTTGGGCATTTTAGTCACAGGTTGGCTTTATTATAAATTGCGAAAAAATGAGGTTAAATTAATTAAAATTGGCTTCAAATTCTTATATCTGTTCGTTGTATTTAAGTATAGCTATAGTATAGCTATACTAGTATGCAACTCGTTTTATAAACTTCTTTAGACACTCGTTTTTATTAAACACTCGCTCGCAAGCTTCGCTCGTGCTTAATAAAACTCGTAACTAAAATGGCGTTTATGCAACTTTATATTTAATATCCTATTAAATAACAGTAAAAACGTTAAAACCATATTTAGGAATTTCAAAATCATTTAAAAAACTTAGCTGCATATAATTTTAATAAAAAAATTTGTCAAAATATGTTTTAAAGGTCAAATACCAAATTTAGCATATTTAGAAATTTTAAGGGACATTTTATGTCAAAATAATTTGTTAAACGTCAAAACCATTTTTAAAATTATACCTTTAAAAATTTCAGTACATTTAAGTAAAAAAATTGTTGAATATTTAAGAAGGTAAAAACAGACTTAAAAATGTAAAAAACAAGTTTAAGATAAAAAACAACATATTTAAAATGTCAAAAAAAACTTACTTAAAGAAGTCAAAAAATCGTGTGGATATAAGGTACATATGTCAAAATCAAATTTCAAAATGTCAAAAACATTATAAAAAAATTGAATGTAAAGAAGTTATTTTAAATAACAGTCAAAACGTCAGAACCATATTTAAGAATTTTAAAATCATTTATAACAACTTACCTGCATATAATGTCAAAAAATGGTTTGGATATACAGGGTGTTATGTAATTAATGATATAAAAAAAACCTTTTGACATAAGGAATAAAGGAAAAATATTTAAAAAAACATTTTTCCAAAGATAAAGAAAAAATATGCATTAGAAGTTTTTTATATTTTTTGTGATACGCCACTGGTTACACACTTGTTTATCTCTGCACACCTGTATTTTGTGAGTACATAGATACCAACCAACAAAGTAGCTATGCGTTGCCAGATGTAAAAAATTGTTACTAAAAATTTTTCTTGCAAAAAATAAATAAAACCTTAATAAATACAAAAGTTTTATGCCCTTAAAGCTCTAATACCCTTCTGTATTTATTTACTGATCCAGCTATTAGCTTAAGCAATGATTAGAAAATTTAGTACCTTTGAAATTTGAAATCCATAACCACAAAATTAATTTTTTCATCAGTTTTTTTTCTGTGTTTACTCAGATGAAATTGGGACCAGTTCACAGGTTAAACTTTAAACATTTAATTTGTGTAAATAAATCCAAAAGCACTTCCCTTAGTTAAGATATTTACAATTTGAAAACATAACCTAAAATTTAAAAGAAATGCACTAGATTCTGTCATAAAAGTTGGCAGATTTTGTTTGAATTTACCTTCAGTACAAAAATGAAATAACCAACAATTAATAAAAACGCCAAATTGACAATTTGCATTGTTAATTTTGTCATTTTTGTAATTAAGCTAAATTTAAACAATGTTTGTCAACTTTTTTGAGAGATTTTGGAAACACTGTTACCAACCATAACATAATAAATCCACCAGATTAACCTAAAGTTCCTAGTCGATCAGTGGCGTACTTTTTGGTAGGATAAAGGTTATTATAAATTATTTTTAGACTTTGGAATTTAGAAAAAAAAAGTTTCAGGTGCTTCTTTATGGACCCTAAGGAACAACCCATTTTAATATATAACCCCAATGAGCCATGTAGTCCTGGAAATTCAAAAGAAATGAGTTTCCCAACGATGATTTCCGTAACGTTAGTGTAAATTTGAGGGAAACCAGATGTCGTTGCTACCATTTCTCGCAATCCGCCCGCAATACGTCGGAAACAGTTTCCACAAATATTGCCGTCAATATCGTACAAACTGTTTCAAGAAAAAAGTTTCTAAACATTTTGACAAGTTGGAACAAACTATTTCTCGACAATATCCTACAAACTGTTTCAAGAAAAAAGTTTCTGAACATTTTAACAAGTTGGAAGGAACTATTTCTCGCCAATATCCTACAAACTGTTTCAAGAAAAAAGTTTCTGAATATTTTGACAAGTTGGAAGAAATTATTTCTCGCCAATATCTCACAAACTGTTTCGAAAAGAAAATTTCCGAGAATTTTATGCAAATTGCAAGAAACCGTTTTTCAGAAATTGTTTCATACATGTTCTTCAAGTTTATTAACATCAATAAAAAAATTAATTATTATTTCCAGGCAGCAAAAATGTCCAGTAGATATCCAATGGATATCACTTTCCGCACTTGTTATAACAAGTGCGGAAAGTGATACTTTCAGCACGTGTTATGACACTTTCAGCACGTGTTATGTACAATGTTTTTTCTACAAGCGTGCGGAAATGACACTTTCAGCCAGGGGCGTGCTGGGCCGCCGGGACACCGGGCGAATGCCCGGTGGCCTGCACCACTTGGTGGCCTGCTGGACTGCTTATCTTCCCTTTTAAAATGACAAATTTTAACAAAGCTTGGGCATAATTAATCATTAATTATTAATGTTCACTACGAACAACGAAATTATACATTAAAGAACATTGAATTTGACAATCTAGCTTTATTACAATTTATAGTAAATTTTATTCATTGACACATGCAAATATTTTTTAAAAACATATGCGTTTGCTTTAAAACTGTTAAATCTTATATTTAAAAACATTTGCGTTTACTTTAGAACTTAAAACGACTATTTTTAATTCTTACATGCCTGCATTTATTATACAGAACTTACCATAAACCAAAACAAAACATATGAGAACCACTGCCTATTTCGGGGAATTTAAATTAACGCGGCAAATACCTAAATCAAAGATTGCTCACGTGGTGCGCAAAGCAGTTGATTTTTGTTCGCATTCTAAAGAGATTGACTTTTTTTTGTAAAGATTGTGGGTATAATATATAAAAAACATATCTATAACCGCGTTTCAAATCGCGTATGTGCCTTTAGTGTTCGGTTATAATTATAATATTATAATAATTAATGTCATTAAAATTTATAAAAAATCGTTTAAGAAGTACACTTAGTGACGCAAATTTGGAAGCTTTCATTCTTATGTCTGTGGAAAAAAAAGTGCTAAATGACTTAGACAGTGACATAATAATTGATAAACTACCTGAAAAAAGTTCCTTGTTGCGAAGAGAGTTATCTCGCGACGTTTTATCAGCCGAGGTGTCATCGTAATATCTAATCTTGTAAGTATTTTTTATAATAGGTGGGTGAATGTGGTTTTATTTTATAGGTATTAAATTTTTTACTAGCTATAGGAAGTATATGAAACTGGCTTGAGTCTGGACTGCTCTACTATCCAGTCCAGGCCTGCATTGGACTACCAGCACGCCCCTGCTTTCAGCACGTGTTAGGTAAAATGTTTTTTTACAAGCGTGCGGAAAGTACAACAGTTCAACTTTCCGCACTAGTGCGGAAAAGTGCTACAGTTATGCGTGCGGAAAGTAGCAACTTTCCGCACGCATAACCGTGCGGAAAGTTGCACTTTTTCGCACTAGTGCGGAAAGTTGAACTTTTGTACTTTCCGCTTGTACACAGTTATGGGTGCGGAAAGTAGCAACTTAACTTAAGCACGCTTGTAGAAAAAACATTTTACCTAACACGTGCTCAAAGTGTCATTTCCGCACTCGACTGCTGACCGAACTCCGCTTCGCGTCGTTCGGTCAACTACAGTCGCGTGCGGAAAAGTATCACTTTCCGCACTTGTTAGGTAAATAACTATTGCCCCTCTTTAAATTAGAAGTTTTATAGCCCAATATTTGGTTTCAACGTTGCCGGGTGTATTTCTGCATGCCAAACAAACTTTTGGTTTTAGTGGCTATTTGAACTCGAAAAAAGTTAACATATTTTTGCTCTTGTCCCTTTATTTATAAAGTATTTAATATTGGTTAATATTTCCTTTTTTTATTTAGAAAAATTGTACGAGGTTTCCCTATAGAGCCAAAACCACGAGATTTAATCCTCTGTACGCGAACAAAATATTTAAGGTAGGCAACCCTGCGCTTTTGGGACATAACCAAAGACACTGTGACCAAAGATAACCTCATTCTTTTTCTATGTTCTAAGGTGTAAGCAGGGTTGTTCCAAGCTACACAATTGTGCAAAATGCTACACTTTTTAACAAGTAGCTACACCGGGGCACCCCAATGGCAAATTTTATTGTTTTGCTACACTTTTTTGATAAAGTAAACAAAAAACTACACAATTATAAGCAATCAATAAAAAAAAAATTCTTTCTACAAGAAACCCTCTTGAGTAGAGTCCTTATCATAGATTAGATAAAGATAAAAATCTATGGTCCCTATAGTGTAAAACTACTGTAGAACTCTGGTAAAACTGCACGAGTCACCATCTACAGCCAGTTCAAATTAAAACCGAATATATCTATATATATATATATATATATATATATATATATATATATATATATGGGGCGTGGCCTCGCCTCCCTCCAAGGCGCGTCACAGTAGCTTGTGTGATAAACGACATGACGAAAGGTCGAGCAGGTAAGGACTTAAAAAATTTAATGATAATAATGCAAAAAATCTCATTAGCGATGCAGGCTATTTGATCAGCTAATGTGTCGCGCGTTGGAGGGAGGCGAGGCCACGCCCCATATATATATATATATAGATATATTCGGTTTTATTCTGAACAGGCTGTATATTCTAATAACCACCAAAACGAATTGAATTTTTCGAATTCGCCAATCTGGCCAAAGATGTCGCAAACGCCGACGCCCCATTTTAAAACTGCACAATGCTACACAATTTCATTATCGAGTTCTACACTTTGAAAAATTAGCCAGGAACAACCCTGGGTGTAAGCGTCTAAGCGTGTATCAGCATAGATTAGAAAGAGTCTGTATCAGCGTGTAGGTATATTATTGTAGTGTAGTGTACAAAAGTTCTACAGAAAAAGGTAAATATCGAATAAAATCTCTTGCAGGAAAATTTCGGGTAGGTAATAAAGATCTAATAAATAGTTGTAGGTATACATCGTCGCTGTCATAACGAAGTGGCCAATCTCTGATTTAACAACTTTTCAGGAGAGCGTTTTGAAGCTAACTTTTGCTAACAATTTGTCTGTAGCACTGGATATAATTCATTGAATAATGGCCACAAGGTGTATTATGGAGATATGCCAGTTCGTCACAACATAGATATGGTTCTTTTAAGTAAGTATTAAATATATTTTTATGGGAATAACTCTTTTCGCCAAATATTGAGATAGGCCCCTTCATTCTGACAGCGATGATATAATATTGTGCTAAAATATTGTCGATGTCATTTGTGCTTGAATAAAAAAAATGGTTTTTAATGTTGCAGAGTGAACTTTTCATGTACCTATGTCTTGTGCCAGACTTGTGGTAGTTTTCGAAATTTCTGTCAAATTATTTTTAATTTATTCTCACTCTCTTGTGATATTAATGTTGAATATATCAAAACAAACATATACGATATCGTGTTTCTGCAAGATTAAGATACCTCTATTTTTTTTATTTTTTTGTTAGATATACTAATTAGGTAGGTATATTAATTCATAATAATTACTATTGTATGAATTATATTTTATAAAAACAAAACAAGTCAACTAGGAGCACAATAATTATTAGGTGTAGTATGTTCTGCAAAAACAAAACAAGCCAACTATAGTTAGTTACGAGCATAAGTTATGCTCGTATTTGACTTGTTTAGAACATACCTACTACACACAATTATAAGTTAAAAAATGTACTAGACTCAAACATTAAGTTATCTTATTCTTGCAAATGAACCAACTATTGCTAATCTTGAAAACCTTTCAGGCTGTCATTTTAAATTGAATGGCTTAAAATAACAAGAATGTAAGCCATTCCATGCAGTTCTTGCCATTGAACACTTTTCATTTAGTCTTTCCTTAATTTTACTCCATGTTTATATATATATTCAAAAAAATTAATTTATAAAAAATATAAAAAATCGATGATATTTATTTAAAAAAATCAAAAAAATCAATTTTTTAAAGTTTTATTGATTTTCTTTTAATTTTGAATAATGTGTGGTCTATATTTAATTTTGAATAATGTGTGGTCTATATGTATATCGGCCATTCCAAGCCCATGGACAGGACACATCAGAAACATGTCTAAATATATTCTTGTTACTTTCTTAAGTTTACTTATTTTTTCTACGAGTATTTATGAGAAGTATTAGCCAAATTTGGCTAATACTTCTCATAAATACTCGTAGAAAAAATAAGTAAACTTAAGGAAGTAATAAGAATATATTTAGACATGTTTTTGATGTGTCCTGTCCATGGGCTTGGAATGGCCGATATATAGACCACACATTATTCGTATTTAAAAAAAATCAATAAAACCTTAAAAAATTGATTTTTTTGATTTTTAAAAATAAAAATCATCGATTTTTTATATTTTTTATAAATTAATTTTGTTGAACCCTGATAAGGGGTGTTTAAAATTGTGAAACTGATACACTGTTCGTTTTTAATGGAAGCCCCTGTATATTTTTTATCATTTGATGCAAAATTTAAATTCACATTTTTTGTAATTACAACCCTATGAAAATTCCCAATAGTTTAAAAACTGAAAAATCCAAAGTTGCTTGAAATAAATATTTTTTTTAAAAATTCGAAAACTTTTACAAAAATTCATTCTTGTTATTTATTGAAATGTTTTGATGTTACAGGTGCACTATCGATATCAAACTTTTATACAAAGCCGAGAAACGAAGAAGTTAAGGATTGTGTAACGGCATCCTTAAAATCTCTAAAACAATGTATGACTAACGCACGTGAAAGAAATCCCGGGGAGACCAGAAAAAGAACTAATTTGGAGTCGGAAGCTTATGGGGCGCCATGTGTTCCATAATTATTTCGTACGATATATAAAATATTTTGCAGGAAAAACTATGTATAAGTAAAATTTACTACAATTTTGCATATATATTAAAAATAAAAGTTTTATATATATTGAATTTGGCACCATTTCGATATAAAACTTTTTTCGTTTAAAAAGTCCCCGAGCGATGGCGCTACCTTTATGATTTGTATAGTTTGTTGCATATACTTTATGAACGTATTCGAATTTAAAAAAACATCTTTCGCTCACGTTTTTTTAGATAACGGCGGTTGGTTTGTAATTTATACAGCTGTAATTATACTGTTCATTCAAACCAACCGCCGTTATCTAAAAAAACGTGAGAAAAAGATGTTTTTTTAAATTCGAATACGTTCATAAAGTATATGCAACACACTATACAAATCATAAAGAAAGGTAGCGCCACCGCTCGGGGACTTTTTAAACGAAAAAAGTTTTATATCGAACTTCGCATGGTGCCAAATTCAATATATATAAAACTTTTATTTTTATATATGCAAAATTGTAGTAAATTTTACTTATATATAGTTTTTCCTGCAAAATATTTTATATATCGTACGAAATAATTATGGAACACATGGCGCCCCATAGAAGCTGCCCAATTATTTCAATAATAATTTTTATTGAAATAATTGGGCAGCCATAATTAACTTTATTTATAAAATGTATTAATTAGAATATTATATATTTTTTATTTATTATAGAATATATTTTAATTTTGTTACAATAAAAGTTCTTTTAAAATACTTGTTTTATTGCCATAATTTTGAAAAGAAAAGAAAAATCAAATAAAATTATTGACGATTAAGAAGAATTAATAAAAGAAATAAGCTGGAAACAACTTTGAGAAACAATTTCTTTCATATTTCACAAAATTTCTAATATATGTTTTTTCCCCAATGGCTGGAATAATGCAGGAAACAGTTGACAGTAGAAATCGTTTCCATTAAATTTTCGTAAAGTTTCTGTCAAAATTTTATAAGACGGAAACTGTTTCCAGCAAATTGCGCTTCAGTTTCTGTAAATACTTTTTCGGTGTCAGAAACAGTTTCCGGCATGTTGCGTTCAATGTTGGTGAACGTTTTTGCCGTCCAAAGGCGGGCCTATTCCTGACGCATATGCCTCAAAACGGACGGAAACATTTCTTGGAACTATCCAGCAAATTTCAAGAAACTTTCCGGAAACTGGCTCATTGGGACATTAATTACATAACACCCTGTATTTAAGATGGTTAAAACAGAATTTAGAACAAATTTTTAAATATTAAAATGAGATTTTAGAATGTAAAATAAACGTCAAATCCATATTTAAGAATGTCAAAATTATTTAAATTTAGGTACTAACCTGCATATTTTACATGTTAAAAACAAAATTCGTCAAAACAATTTTTAGAGGTCAAATACAAAATTTCAGCACATTTTATAATGTCAAAAACATTTTCTAAATGTCAAAGCCATATTTAACATTTCAGAAATTTTTCGGATGAATCTAGAAAGGTAAAAACAGATTTTAGATTTCGAAAAATTAATCTATACATGTCAAAATCAGATTTTAAAATCTCAAAAAAAATGTAAAACAACAGTCAAAAGATCAAAATCATATTTAGGGTTGTTAAAATTATTTAAAAATACTAACCTGCATATTTTATATGGGTATACGTACTTTTATGTTCAAAACAAAATTTGTCAAAACAATTTTTAGAATGACAAAATCTTTTTTAAACTTCAAATCCACATTAAAAAGTCAAATTGCCTGTGATGTATTTAAGAAGATAAAAAGATTTTAAAATATCAAAAACAATTCTAAAATGTCACAAAGACATTTTAGAATGTAAAATTACATTCAAAACGTCAACATCAAATTTAATGATATCAAAATCATTTAAAAATACTACCTTCACGTACAACGTCACCAACGTTTGGGGTAAAAATAAAAGATTTTATTCACTTTGTCGTCTTTATTTACAAAGCAGAACAATACAAGCAATGGTTGTATACTACAAATAACTAGATTTAGTCCATTAAAAATCGGTAAAAAGCTGTAAGAAATAAAAAACAATATGGGGTAAAATTTAATAAAAAAAAGGGTTGTTTTACCGATTTTCACGGTTTTTGTCTACTATACCTCATTTTGCTTTAATTCTAAGATATTTGTGGCAAGTTAAAAATGAACACCCTACAAAAAAACGTTGTGTAATATTTACATTACTTTTTAATGTTTTCAAAACTAAAAGTAACAAAATAAATATTATTTTTAAGTCTTATTCACGAAATAATCAACAAAAAAATCACAAGGTGCCATATTTAATAGATTATAATTATAGTAAAAAATCATTTTATGGATTATTAAATATGGCAATAACATTGCACTTAAAAACATAAATATGTGGCTCAGCTACGCTTTTTTCCTTTTATGCTTAATTTAAGACGTTTTGCAACCTTGCCACAAAATTGTACAGGGCAAGTTTAAATATCACCTCAATAATTATTACACAGGGTGTCGTAAAATGCCGCACCGCTTTTTGACGATTATTTTTCTCTCTTACAGAACACATTTTTCGGACACCCTGTATGTATAACCTTGCCCTGTACTGGGGGGTAAAATATACATACATAACTCCTGTCCCATAAAAGTCACTAAAAGTTACAATTTTTTTACATTATGGATCGGACATATTACATAACTTATTGTAGTCATTTTTTTTGTTTTGTTTCTTTCTACCGTAGGTTAAAATTTAAGATTACACGTCTAATACTAAATTTAAGTCTAGATAACTTTCGAAAAAAAATAAACAATAAGTGATGAGTCACAAGTATATGTAAAAAAATATTTAAATATTGCTGAAATAAATTAATTAAGATGGAACGCTAACTAATTTAATTTTTTCTTACATAGGATGTTACTAATTTGTATTTTTTCTTGGCTAAACGTTAAAAAATAAAATGATTACTTTTGAGTAAGTATAAAATTGGTTTTAACTCCATAAATAAATTTACGCGAAAAAAAAATATTGCACAACATATTTTAGGGTAAAATACAAACTAGCAAGATTTCGTATCACACATACTGATTATTAAATATATAGTTTACGATTTTTTCTTTTATTTTCCTTTTATTATAAAAAGACTGTCATATCCACTTGTTTTTTTATAGACACAATGTTTCACTACAGAAAAAGTTCGTATGTCTTTTGTTCACGGCGCATTTTTTGTTTTTCAAGTAAATAGAAATTTTTTTTTGGAATCGTACATACGTAATTATTTATTAGTTTGGTGGGGAATTGCTATTTAGTTTAAATAAGTTAGACTAGTCGAAAGGTTAAATTGTGCTTCAAGTTTAATATCCTGAAACAAAAAAAAACCGGTTTTACTTATTTTGAAGAAAAGTCTTGTGGGTTTTATACAAGGTGTCCACAAAATGCCTGTACAAAATGATACCACATATCCTTGAGACCAAATAACTAAATTTAACTCCATACATTAATATTATTATTATTCCAGGAACACCTTGTATATTTCTTTAAAATATTCTTTTTTAATTTTAAACAATAGTTAATTGATAATTTTTTTATAATTAAATGTGCAAAATTTGGAGAATATGGAAATTTTGACAATTAAAAAAAATTATTTTATATTTTTTTAAATATAACGTTTTAAAATTTTACGTTCAATACTGATTTTTTTAACAAAATTTGAATTTTAAAATTTAAAATTTTTTTATACCCAAATCTTAATTTTCAAAATATTAAAGATTTTAAAACTTTTAAAGTTATTTCGAGTAAAATTTTAAAATTAAAATTTGAAAAAAAATCAACTTTACAATTAAAAAAAAATTATACAGTTAATTTATTTAAAAAATATTACGTAAGCACGTAATATTTTTTTAATGTTTTTAAAATTTACGATTTTAAAGTAATGAATTTAGAAATAAAAAAATATATATTTTGTAATATTATACATAAAAAAAAATAGTTGGAAAATTTTAGAAATTTTAATTTTTTTGAAAATATAATAATTTATAAATTTTGGAAAATAAAAAATTTTTTAGGTAATTACTAATTTTAACACCTAAAATTTTCTAAAATTTGGAAAAGATTAATTTTTAAAATTAAAAAAAAAAATCATACCCAAATAAAGGGTGGGCCCATCTATGAGTTAAATTTTAAACTACGTGCTATTAATGGAGCTTTCAACTTAAGCGCCATGAATTGCTGACAGTGGTTTAGTTTTAACCTTCCGATTACAAAATATGCACCGAATAAATTTGGATCAACGTTTCGAAATACTCAAAACTTACTTTGAATGTGACTGTGATCGTAGAGACGGCAAGAAAATTGCGTTTGGAAGAAATGAGGCGCCGTCAAACCAAAGTATTACAAATTTGATCAAAAAATTACGCAGAAATGGAATGCTGGTGGACATAAAACATGTTTCGCAGGCTCGTTCTAGACGTACACCTGAAGCAATCGCTGCTGTGGCCGAAAATGTACGCATGAACGCGTCAACATCAACTCGGCGCAGATGTCAACAACTCGGCCTTTCCCGTACCACTCTGAGGATGATTCTGCACAAAGACCTCGGTATGTTTGCGTACAAAGTCCAGCTTGTTCAGGAGTTAAAGCAAGTTGACCATCCACAACGTTTTCGCTTTGCTGAGTGGGCTTTAAACCAGTTGAACGATGACCCAAATTTTGCAAGAAAAATCATCTTTTCGGATAAGGCGCATTTTTACCTCGGAGGTTATGTCAACAGGCAAAACTGTAGGATTTGGGCCACGGAAAATCCACACGTCGCCGTAACAAAGCCTATTCACCATTTAAAACAAAACATTCAAGCTCAAATTGCCTAAATAGAGCAGCAAACTTTTGACAAAGTGCTTGAAAATTAGTGTTCCAGGATGGGCTACTGCCGAGCCAGCTGAGGTGGCCACTTAAATAAAATCATTTTCCATACTTAATCGGAAGAAACATTGTATCAAATAAAGCAAAATTCGTTGAAAAAAAATCAGTTTTTCTTGTTCTCATTGCAATTTTATAATTCAACATAAACATGGCCCACCCTTTAAAAATTTTGAAAAATTTATAATAATGTTTTTATAATTTGGAAATTTTTTAATTTAAAAATATATATGTACATGTATATATTTTTTAAATATTACGTTTTAAAATTTGACGTCAGCATGTTTTAAATTTTTTTGGATAATTTGAATTTAATTTTTTTTAAACCAAAATGGAATTTTTTAAAAATATTTTATATAAAAAAATTACAAATTTTGAAAATTTTTGTAAATTTTACAATTTTTGGGAATATTTCATAATTTGTGAATTTTAAAAATTAAAAAAAAAAGTTTTAGGTAATTGGTCAATTTTTTTAAAATTTGATCAAAAAATAAATTTTTGAAAAAAACAATTTTTAAAATGTTGTAAATTATACAAATTTCTTGGGAATTTTAAAGAATTTGTAATTAAAAAAAAATATTTTTGTTACTATTTTTTTTAAATGTATTACGTTTTAAAATTTTACGACGGCACATTTTACAAAATTTGAATTTTAAAATTCTTGAAAATTTAGTAAATTCAAAAAAATATTTGTAGGTAATTGGTAGTTTTAAAAAAATTATAACTATTAAAAAATTTGTAAATTTTGAAAAAAAATTAATTAAGATTTAAAGAAAATTCATACAAAATAAAAATTTTCAAAATGTTCTAAAATTTTACCATTATAAATTTTTTATAATTTCTTAATATTTTTAGTATTTTGAGGAATTTGTAATTTAAAAAATATATTTTATTTTTTTAAATACCTATAACGTTTTATATTTTATATTTAAATTTTATCACAAAACTAAAATTTTTAAATTAAAAAAAAAATGATACCGAAATGATTTGAAGATTTTATTTTTTTTTATTTAGGTACCTAATTGGTAATTTTAAATTTTTTAAAACTATTAATGAATTTGTAAATAAAAAAAAACAATTGAAAAAAATTTATACCCAAATTTAAAATGTGAACTTTGAAGAATTTGAAAATTTTGGAGAAAAAAAAAATATTGTCACATATTTTTTTAAATTACAAATTTTGAAATTTTTAGGTAATATTAAAAAAATTAAAAAAATAGATAGATAGGTTGTCTACTACTAGGTTGTTCAGCAGTTACAAACCTTTTCTACCGTATGTTATCCGTACCATTTGGTTCATTGGAATTCTGGGCGGGGCTCTGCTGGGCGCTGGACGACGTCGCCCTGCCGTGGCTGCTCTCGTACTCCATCACCTCCTGATAGATCAGTTCTTTCCATTGCTCAACGGTGTGCTCGCGCTCGTCCACGCTGTGGTCGTACGGACCGGGCGCCGGCTGCAAACAACCAAACAACATCTCGAATTTAACAACAACCCTCGTTGCTGTCAAATTACAGGCAGACACCGATAACGATACCACAATTTGTCATGAGGGAATTTTTTAAACACTAAAGCGGGAGCCCTTGTACAAAAAGTAAAAGCCGTTTTGTTAAGGCAAATACCTGAACAAAAGGATCAGGCGAATTTGCTTTACACCCTGATTTTTTTTCGTAGACAAGTTAAAATGAGTAACATTCCAAGTATCCGTTCTTTGAACGTCACTTGAGCGATGCCATCTAGTGTATAATCGTTGGAGCTCCCAGGCTTTCGCATTCGCGATTAAATTCAGTTCAATATTATTGGATTCATATGATCGGAAGTAGTTGCAGGGTTAATGCGAGTTTCGGTCAGAGGCGTAGCTAGGTAACTAAAGGACCTGGTGCAAAAAGAACTGGGGCCCTAACTAAACTGTTTAGGTTTTATCAAGTCAAAATATAAATACTTTAACGGTACAAAGCTAGAAGTTTATCATCAGCTCTTTATCGTGCACAGCACCGTTTAGCCTTCGGTAGCTACGCCACTGGCTTCGGTGAATCGGTGTTTGGAAGTGTAAAGAAATAACGGCATGCTGTAGACACTATATAGATACAACTAGGGCCGGATTAGGCAAAGTAGGCTATAGGTCAAGGCTTGCGGGGGCCCTTGAACAAAAAAGTAAAAGCTTTCTTTCCACCCTGATTTTTCTTGAAATCGAAAACAAGTTAAAATGAGTATAATTCCACGTATCGGTTCTTAGAACGTCACTTGATCAATGCTATCTGTATAATCGTTGGAGGTCCCAGGCTTTAGCGTTCGCGATTAAATTCCGTTAAATATTATTTGTTGCATATGATCGGAAGTATTTGCAAGGTTAATGCGGTTTTCGGTGAATCGGTGTTACGGACGTTTGCAGTCTTCTTTTATAATTATATAAAATTATGTTTTTTAAAATAAATATAACGTATAACGTATAATCCGGCCCTAAATACAATGCAAAAACACATAAACAGAGTCAGAAGCAAAAGTTAGAACCTCCTTTGGATATCAGCTTTGTTCCAACAAGCTTTAAATAATCCACGATTGTTGTTGGAACAAATCCAATGCCACTTATTTGCTTTTGACCCGTTTGAAACTATTCTACAACAGCTATAATATGATAAAAAAGATTCATTACTTTTCTACATACCGCGTTCACTTCCTGCTCGTCGTACCACACGTTGATGTAGGGATGCAGCAGGGCTTCGTCGACGGATATCCGGTTCTGCGGGTCGATGACGAGCATGCGCGAGAGCAGGTCGCGCGCCTGGCTCGCCTTCAGCCGGTTGTGCTCGTTGCTGTCCGAAGGGAACAGCACGTCCGGAAAAAGCTTCTCGAACGTGAAGCCCGGGTACCGCGGCCGGTTCTCGACGTAGTTGCGCACCGTCGGCTGCAGCCGCACCATGAACTGCTGCGACGGCGTGCCCAGTTGCTCTGCAAGATTGTTCGTATCAGAGACAAGGGAGAAAGAGACGATTCTTTAAATAGGAATTTCGGTCAACAATTTAAATGCACAGATTTCAATGTAAAACGGTTTCTGCGCATTTGTTATCAGCCCTGCACTGAAAAGGCGCATTTATTTTCATTTACTGTCGTCTGTCAGTAGGGTTGCCACCTTTTAAGCTTGGAGATGGAGGACAAGGAAAAAGCCCGCCGCGAAACTTTTTTCAAAATTTTAAAAAGGGGGCGTTACCAAAATTAAAACAAGTTCAATAAATATGACCAAGGACCAATGCCTTGCAATATTAACTTTATTAACTAGAACATTAAACTAATAATTATTATACCTACCTAATATTAGGTAAATAAATACATTTTAATAACAAAAAGAATTGCAGTCAGATAAAAATAATAACCTAGTCAATAATATGTCAGTTAAATCTATTTTTTTGGCACCGATTCTCTGAACATTACCTATACATTATACATTACTTTAAATTAAAAATAACCTTTTATAATTTAACCATTACAATTTATAAATCTATGAAACACCGAATCTGCAGATTCAATGCTGCGATTCATGATCATATGAAACAAGCAAGGCAGGCTCAAGAAAACAGCACAGATTACAGTAAAATATATCAATAATGTGGCAACGCAACAAGCAACCGTCTGCTATTGCAAATGGCGTTAGTGAGTACTTAAGAGGAGTTCGCGCTGCGCAAATAACGCATTTTAAAAACCACTAGGCAACCAACTATACAGATACCGGCCAACATTATTTTTTATTGTTTGCAAGCCAGTTAATTTATTGGTTTATCGAGAAAAATATTTTTGACAGAGCACAATAAAATACATGGGAGGAAGGACATATTTCATTTAAAGGAGGACGAAGGTCACGATCTTATCAAAAGAGGACTGTCCTCCACAAAAGAGGACGGGTAGCAACCCTATCTGTCAGTCAGATGTCAGTAACACAGATTATAAAGAAATACTAAAAATGTTTGTGGTTTTGTTTATAAGTTATACGCTAAAGAAGTATCGGGTTTTTGCAACGCGCGCGCCATCTGGTGGACTTCGAATGCATTGCGTGGATTTAAGAATTGTCAACAATAAATTTAAAGCACCGATTATACATCATTTTGAAATAAATAGGTAGTTTTTTTACAAAAATTAAAAAACTTTTTTAGTAGGTACTCGATTTCGATTGATTATTCCTTATATCATTGATTAAGAAACTCAACGCTTAAATGCTTATATAGTTACGTTAGTGTGTGTATTTTATCAAAGGGATCATGGTGAATTATTGTGTTTTTAATTGTAAATAAAAATCAAGAACTAAATCGTTGCATTTTCATGTTTTGCCAAAGGATCCAATTCGGTAAGTACATTTGTTGTTGTAGAATTAACTAATGATAACTTTACCTAATATAATTTATATTTAAGTTTGGACATTTTTAAGAAATTAGTAAAAAATAATTTTTGCACAAACATAACCTTAAAATTAACCATTTTTATATTTGAGTTCTCTAAAAAACGCCGACAACTGCATTTTAAACAACAAAATATACCTACGAATTCATGGCAACATAATATTATATATAATACATAATATAATGGTATTTTACCGTTAAGTGGAGACTTTAAAGAAATCTTAATCAACGTTTTTAATAATGCTAAATGCTATTTAAATTTAGACGACTTATTTATTTAACGATTTTTACTGAATTGAAATGTTTACACTTTTAACGTTAATCACTACTAAAATGTGTATTTATTGTATCTAAGTAATAGGTACAATTTATATTTACAGAGACTGTATGCAATTTATTTCTTCATTCAGATTAACACTGTTTATTGGAAAACCGGTAAAAACTCAACCCAGGATTTCCTCTCTAAATACACCTAACAACACAACAAATCGATCTAAGTTTTTTTTTCGATATTTTTTAACATTTTCCGGCTTTATTCTCAAAAACACTCGTTTGTAACCTAAGCGTTTGACAGCTGATTATTAAAAGTTCTACTTTTGTTACGATGATAACAGCCGAGTGGTGGCGCTACTAGCGATACTTCTTTAGCGTATTATACCTTGTTATATTTAGCACATTGTCAATTGTTGTAAAATGACATTATTTAAGGTCAAAGAAACTAAATTAAAATATGTATGTGTATAGTTATGTATGTTTCAAGGCAGTAAAGTCGTATTTTTTATCAAGAATGTGTAAATTATTTGCCGAGGCGAAAGCCGAGGCAAATAACCACGTAAGTGATAAAAAATGACTTTATTGCCGTGGTGCATATTAAATTTTATCCGAAATCACATTTAATAATACTAATAATTAATATTGATGATTATTTCCCTCAATATAATATGAACCAATCAAAAGCCTTGAATTTTCGAATAAATTTCGTTTAAATAAGCGATTAAATCACTAGACCTTTTTAACAGCGATTAAATTTTAGCCTCCATATTGGATTTTTGTTTACGATTTTATGGTGTTATTTACAAGTTTTAACAAACATTTTTTAAAAAACAATAAAAAATAAGTTATCTAGTTTACGAAATATCAATTATTACTTATTACATACCTTAAATTAATGGAATTTTCTTTAAAAAAATATTTATAAACTTTGACACATACGTCAGATTTTATGAATGGTCAAATAGTTCTTTAATTCGAGAAATAATCTAGACGTATATCACTCAACCTATAAATTTAATCTGTCAAACTATGCTCAGTAAGTTTTTTATTTGATTTTTCTTTTTGGAAAATAGTTTCATGCAAAATAATTAAAAATAAAACCCCTCGACCGCTACGCTGTCTCGTGATTTTATTAAATTATTTTGCATTCAACATTTTCCAACAAAAACCAAACAAAAAACTACTGAGCCTAGTTTACCCGATTAAATTCATAGTTCATATAATATATGATTAAATCAAATGTCATTTGATGATCAAATCAAATGTCATTTGAATGTAGGAAGTGTCAACGTATACTGTTTGTTACGACGGTTATTATATATTTGCTCGCTGCGGCAATTTTTTAATCTAATTAATAAAATTAACTTATATTTATTAAACAACATTTTATGAAAGGGTCCAATCGACCTCCGCGACAGTGCTTTTTTTAAATATTATTTAGTTGCTGCTGAGGAGCAGTAGACACATCTTAAAATGTTTAATGGGTTGCATATAATACTCGTATTAAATCGGCAGTAAAGTTCTACTTTACTGCCGATTTCGGATAAAAGTACTTTAAGCACTTTATGTTTTGTTTTGGTGTTAAGGGATTAAACTGAAACTGAAACTATCTTACCGATAATTTTGTTCCACTGATCGATGTGATCGGTGCCGGGGAACAGCACCCCGCCTCTTATCATCTCGCCCATTATGCAACCCACCGACCATATGTCGACGTTCTCCGTGTAGCCCATGCCGAGGATGACCTCGGGGGCCCTGTAGTACCTGGTGACGACGTAAGGGGTCATCATGAACGTGGTGCCGGCCGTGCGCGCCAAACCGAAGTCGAGGATTTTCAACGTGCAGTCGGACTTGACGACTATGTTGCTCGGCTTCAAGTCCTAGGAATATTTTGGGTTTACAATTAAAAACCCTCGCTGAAGCGTTTTAATTTCTCACCCTGTGTATAATACCGGCGGAATGCAGATGCTTGATGCCGCAGAGCATCTGGTAGAGCAGATAGCTCATCCGCTCGTGATCGAGGTCCATCTGTATGACTTGACACAGATTTGCGTCCATCAGTTCCATAACGAGGTAGACATCTTGGAATTCCTCCAAAGTTCTTTGGGGAGTGAAAGCGTTTAACAAACCAATTATCTGAAAGATTTTTATCAAATAAAAATGCTAAATACTAAAATAATGAGTTTTCTTACATTTTTGTGGTTGACGAGTTTCATTAACTTAAATTCCCTGTATGCCCTTTTGGCGTGGGTGACGTTTTGAAACGGGCGGCTTAGTTTCTTGATTGCTACATTTGTTGAGGTGACTGTGTCAACCGCGGCGCTAAAAGCACACAAAAACAACAAGTTAGGTAGTGTTACTTTCAGTAATAAAGGTTTTGTTAATATTCGTCAAAAACTTAACAAAATTGTATCAAATAAAAAGAGATACGTGCAAAAACACTAAAAAGCCTAGTTATGCCGCATGCATTTTTAAACAAAGAAAGTGTACCTTGTCCAGATAGGTTGATGTCTAGCCCATAGTTTCTATATTTGTATTTTTATGAAAAAGGTTTTTAAATCAAAAAAATTTCGAGTTTATAGGCGTATGGTCTAGTGGATAGCTCTTAATGACAAGGTTTATTTTTAACTTTTAGTCAAGATATCTTATCTTGGATTAAAGTTTGAAAAGTTTTGAAAAAAAAATATTTCTTTGAAATTTTAATACCTACAGAATAGTTAGAATTTTAAAATAAGTGGTAAATATTTTTGTTGGAAATTAAATGATCTACAAAAAAGTAACTTTTGTTTTTTCGATAAATGTGAGCGTTTTAAAGATAATCGCAAGTATATCCCGTATGGTCTAGTGGTCAGGATACCTAGCTCTTTTAATTTTGGTCAAGATATCTTATCTTGAGTTGAAGTTTGAAAAGTTTTAATAAACATAGTTTTTTTTTTAAATTTTATAACTTACAGAATAGTTAGAATTTTTAAATGAGTAGTACATATTTTTGTTGGAAATTAAATAATCTATAAAAAAGTCTTCTTTTGTTTTTTCGATAAATATAAGCTAAGATAATCGAATTTTGTTTAATATGAAGTATATCCTGTATGGTCTAGTGGTTAGGATCCCTAGCTTTTAATGTGGCAAGTTTTTTTTTTTACATTTTTCTTAAATAATTTATTGTTATAAATGGAGAAAGAGAGGTTTGATCGGTCTAAATTTGTTAAATATTAAACACAGAGATGTCGCCACCAGTGTTTATTCCGTCGTCCGATGATAGAATAACTACTCTCAGGAATATATGTCATTCCACATTAAAAAGTGATATTAAAACGGTGATATTCTGTAAAAGAAATAGAAAAAATGTTTTAAATGTCTCTCATTCAAAAGAAATACTTTTTAAAAAATGAATATTTTGTAATAAAATTTCAAAAAAAGTGAAATAGTTAAAAGCTTATTTTAATTAATAATATTTCAAAAAGCAACAGGTAATTTTTTTATTTTTTACGGTAACTTTTTACATTTTATGTATCTTTTGAATGGCTAGGTTTACGAAAAAAACATAAGATACCTTTTGTGTGGAGCACTCAATTCCCTCAATTAAAATGTTTATTGGGATTAGCTTTATATTTATTTGTTATATGTGTTATAGGTTTTGCAAAGGACTAATGTAAAAATTGAAAGTTGCAATGGGAAGGATCTTACTCCTAATAATAAGAGCTTATACGTAGTATGACCAATTAATGGTAAATCCCTCTTGAAAATCCAAGACAAATTTACTTTTAAAGCCGCCGTTGAGAGAGCGGTATTGTCGAATTGTAATCTGGGTTGTCTACCCACATTAAACAGACGCGGCTCGTCCGATAGTGCTTGCCGGTATTTTACGCTTTAGGGGGAGTTATTTTTGTTTTAATTTATTTATTACACCTTAAAAGTTACAATTCAAAATATCACAATTTTACTTTTATATTTAGATATTATTTCTTATTGATATATAATGTACTTGAGCCATATAGGTAAATTTTTTAAAGTTTTGTTGGTTTTTGACTTGTTCTGGGAGATTGTTAAATAAACCATTTGAGCTCGAAAATGTAAGGGTTGTATTATGATAATAAAGTATGTAAAATTAGTTAATACAATGACATGAAAGTTTATGAAATGTTATATAAAAAACAATATTAGAAACAGGTTAGACCAAAATAATAGGACAAATTTTCATATGTTAGGAAAAATAAGTTTTGTTGAGCAAACTAAATATTTTTTCTTGTTTTTTTCTTACTAGTTTCAGATTTTACTTATTCAAAATATAACCATGATACACAAAAACCGGTATGCTGGTTATGAAACAAAAACTCGTCGACTACGCGCATGTGACGTTACGTGCGAACCAGATTCAAATGGTACAAACAGTTTTGCATAGGCATATGCATAGGCATACAGGTGTTTTACTAGGATTTATTTTGAGTTTTTTCCGAAATTATTCTGTTTTTTAAAGTATAAGCCACGCACGATGGTTTTGCAACGTTTTTCGTTTTTACTGCATTTATTGAACAGTAATAAATATTTACAAGGTATTTATAAGTTTGTGTTATATTTGTTGGACTTATAACTAATTAAAATTTGCCGGGCTGTGCTGTAGCAGACAGCAGAAATATGAACAGAAACACCCAACCTAACCTAATATGAAATATTTTCGATTTTCAAAAATAAAGATCTGACAGCACAGTGGATGAATGCATGCAAGAGAAAGGATAACATGAAAATAAAAAAACGGTAAGTAAAGGCAATTTTTGGTATACCTACCCAATTTTCTTTTAGGTACTTATAGTAACTTTTCACCCTAACCACATATTTTTTTACAGCCTGCATAAGTTCTTACCATTAATAAAAATTAAAACACAATTGTATCGGAAACCCGCTTCAAAAGTGTCACAAGTAAAAAAGGCAGTTTTAAGATTTTTACTTTTGACACTTTAAAGCGGGCGTGCGTTATAAATGCATTTTTAAAATTTTTTACCTTTCACATTAAAAAAATGTAAAATTCGGGTAGCGTAAGTTAAGTTAATTCAATTAAATAAAAATATTTTGAAAAATAACCCAGTTACCCGCCAGCTTTTGGTTCGTCACACGGTGCGAGAGAGATAGCTATAAGTTATAATAACATGCGCACGAGCATACCGGTTTTTGTGTATCGTGAGTAGAACTAGAAAGAAAAGTCTAGCCAATGTGAGCGATAAAAATGTTTTGGTAAAAATATTGCGTTGGCCCTATTAATCTGGTTCACTCTGTCGATGTTCCCTTAAAACCTGTTAATCTTACCACTTACCATACGAGGCCTTGTGCTCCGCCACCTTTCGGTTCCAGATTAACGTATCTTTCCGGCACCCTGAACTCAGTGTCGCCGAAAGTGTGTTGCGTGAAACCTTCGCGTTCCATCGTATGTGAACACTGTTTCGCTCAACAAGGTGCCAACACACAAACCAACACACCAAAACAAAAACCAAACCAGACAAAAATAATATACAACTAACGACAGGCAAAAACTAACTAAAAAATAAAAAAAAGATCACGCGATGGTGCTAAATGTTATTGTCTACGTTGGCGATTCTTTGCAGGGTTAGGGCTACAGGATTTATTTTAGCATATTGATTCTAAAAAATGTTGTGTCTAATTTAATGTTTTGTTTGTGTTAAGAACCCTGTATTCCTAACCTGGCATTTTGTGTTCCACTACAGGGTGAAATGCTTCTTTTAAAAATGCAAATCCTAAAGTAATGGAGTCTTCCAAAGGTTGAACAAAAACTAAATAAATCTTATTTGTGACGTGGAATGATACAATCGAAGGACCAAAAACTATTGAGGGCATAAGGGCCACCAAAGATGCCCGAAAAAACAACAAACAATCCAAATAGAAATTTGCTCATAGTTTTAATGGACTTTCGTTGGGACGATTGATTCATTCCACGTCATGGATGTGGTTGCTTTGGACTTACCAGACGATCCCTTGGGCACCGGACCCGATGGTCTTGAGATTTTGGTACCGCTTCAAGATGGTGAACTTGGTGTCTCCTACCTCGACGGTGTAGAATTGCGATAGACGGGACATCTTCCTGTTCCTCCAGTCCCAGTAGTTCGAGGTAGTTGATGTCTGAAAGCAATGCCTAAATCAAACGGACGGGTTAACATTTTTGCGTGTTTCGAGGGTTTTCGCTTTTTGTTATTTTTTGCATAAACACACTCACGCCTCTGGCTGTCACTAAAAGTGTGTTGATGTTTGTTTGCAGTTTGTTAATCGGTTAGTTGGCGGCGAAAACACGCTTCAGTTAGGAACAATATTGACACTCTCTACAATGAAGTCAGACGAAAAACTTTTAACTCATTTACACTCACTTTCAAAAGTTTTGCACCACTTTGTAATTCCATCTAGAAGTTAGCGAATTTAATGGTAACAAACTATCCTCTTTCTATTAGGAAATTTACTGTTTTTATAACAATTAGAAGATACGGGGCCAAAAAAATGCGAAATTTTATTTGTACAAATAATCTTTTAGTACCTTGTATTGCCACCCCTGCTCTGTTATGAACACGTCTGGGCATGCCTCGTATAAGGTTATTAAGGTAGGTATTCTTAAGAAATGTTATTCCATTCCTCAACAGCGGCTACAATAAGCTCTTGAACATTAATGGGAGGGTTAAAACGGCTACGAATCAATCTGGATAAATAATCCCAGGCGTGTTCATTGGGATTCATGTCCGGAGAAAGAGGTTACCAATCCATTCTGTCAATTTCACCCTCTCGCAGAAACTATACACTGTTAAAAATGTTTGTAAAATTACTACATTTTAACTCAGCAGTTGCATAGTAAAATTACAAAATGTTGTATTGTATTGCAATTTTAATACGCATTTGTTGTAATATTAGATTTTGCTATGTACGTATTAAACAGGTTCCAATTTAACAATGTTTTTGTTTTTGTCAGATACTAGTAATTTTACAATTCTGTATTGTAGAAATGAATTTGAATTTTTGTAAAATTTCTATACATATTCGTAATTTAATTTTACTAAGACAATAAATAAAATTACCAACCAAAATTTTCCATTTGAATTACAATAAGTGTTTGGAGATATACAAATCATTATTTATTTTATACAACTTCTGTTTGCATTTTTACTATATATCATTTTAATCATGTACACTGTTAAAATTTTTTGCAAAACAAAGGGTGAGTAAAATTACAAATCAGTGTAGGTATATCAATACAAAATTATAATACAATTTGAGTAATCTTCCAAGACTTGTTGTGAAATCTACTAAAAAAAAAAAAATTGTAATTTTACAATCTATATGTATAAATCCTACACGCATTGTAATTTAATTTGCTATAATGTTATGTAAAATGCATAGTATGTACCGATTGCGACAATCACGTGATGTTCTTACATCTCGCCTCGGTTGACTTAGGTGGAGAGTATATAAGCTCAGGTCATTGATAAGACCCAAAATAGGTCTATCTGTCTATGTGTCTAGCTGTCTGTCGGTATTTGAAGTTGGTGGAACGCACTTAAAACGAAAACTCTGGCGAGGTGAAGGTTCAATTTTTTTAAATCTTTACAGTAATGGGTCAAGAAAGTTTCTTGAAGAAACTAAGAAAATTGCAGGTTTTTTTCCGTAGTATAATTAGTAATTACAATACCATCATTCGTAAATTACTAAATATTTTTAGTGTTGTTGTACAAAATAACAATATTTGTATTGTAATATTGCGAAACGAATTTTCTTCAGTAAATTGTAAAATATATTTTGTAATTTTCTTAAACTGAGTTGAAATGAATTGTATAATATAATTACAATACACCGTTTTAAAATTACTAAACATATTTAGTATTTTTTTAGCAAAATTACAATACCTGTATAGTAATGTTACTGAACAAATTTTTAATAAATGCTTAGTCAGGGTTGCCACTGATTTGTCTAAACCAAATTTCCTGACTTTTCCAGGAATTCCCTGACCTTTCCTGATTTTTTTCCAGACAAAATGTGTTTTCTTTTTGATTTCCTGACCCTCAATGATTTTTTCAACTGGACTTTGAGTGTTGGTTTTTAAAATTTTAAGTATGGGGCCATTCAAGTATTACGTAAGCAGTAATTTTGTTATTTTTAACCGTCCCTTCCCTTTGTCAGCAAAAGTAAGTAAAGCTTATAGTCGCGGCCAAATCTGTATGGGTGCACGTCATCAACGGCATATGACGTCAGCGTTAAGGTCTATTCATACGTGCCCAGACACAACCTAACGCTCGTGTATTGTTGACTGTTTATAGCGGTGGGGGCTGTTATTAAGATGGAATTGTAACGTCCTTGTTATAATCTTCTGCACTAACTAATTAGGAGTTTGTTACAGGCAAATTTTTATTAAATGTGTTTAAAGAGAAAACAAACGGAGTTTATTACATTTTTATTACATATGCACATAACAAAACAATACTAAATTATCAGAAACACAAAAATAATAAATTACCAGTCGTCCTTGTCATCAGAGCAAACCAGGTCAAAATTGAAGTCTGAATATTTCCCCAAATTTATTATTAAGGGCGCAATGTCTTCGAATTCTAATAACGGCTAGTTGCCAACAAGCCTTATATCATCCCAAGCAACACAAAATCGTCTAATAGACGTTTAATATTTGTCTATACCAATGGTATATCATTGGTTTATTGTCTACCTCTAATATAGGTTAAAATGTCCGCCTAATATAGGTTGATGCATATTATAGCAATATCCATATTTTAAACGTCTACACTATACGTTTATTTATAATATATAGTTTGTATATAATATATAGTTTGTATACAAACTTGACAATTAAATATCTGTTTTTTATAAAGGTTACATTTTAATATATAATATACCAAAATTAAACGTTTATCAAAAACTTCTAAAAGCCATAAACGATATACGTTAATATTGAATATTATTTTAAGGTGAAATTTTTTACATAACATTATTGTTTAGGCCGCGGCTCTGCTAATCTGGAAAAAGAAAATAAAAACAAAAGTTTTTACATTTGAATGATTTTTTAATATTTTTAGAGCTCTCTAATAATTCCATTTTCATTAAATTAAAATCGTAAAACCATGCATGGTTTTACGGTTATCAATGCATTGATAATTAAAATTACAGTAAAATTTACTATATTTATTCTTTGCATTTAATTTAAGTGAGGCATATTCTTTCCAGATTTGCAAAAACTTACCTGTGTAAGTGTAGTAGTAACTCCAAGGTAAAAAAAAAAGTTTAAAAAGAAACTGAGCAGATGACAAACGAATATATTTTCATAAATAATTATTTATTATTTTAAAATAACTAATTAAACAAATGTTAAGTTTTAACATCATTGAATCATTGCTTTGATAATTTGAGCCAATCTTGACAGGCTTGTCCTATGGCTTTGTCAGTTATTTCCCTGGACTTGATCTTTTCCTTGAAAGGACAGTTTTACTGCCTCTGTAAAACAGTAAAAAACAATGTTACTAAAAAGTACGACTGTTTACATATATTTTAAATAACTTTTAACTTTTTATTCTGTGGTAAAATAAAAATATAATAAATAAGTGGTTATAATGTACGTTTATAAATAGTATACCATAAACCAATAATAGATCTTTAAAAAAATAAAAAATATTGATTATTTTAAAAATTCAAAAGTGATGTTAACCTAATCCAAAAATAAACCATCTAATTTAATGCAAAACGAATATGTCGCATGGTTAAAACTTCTGCAAAGGTTACGGATTTTTGCCGGCTTCGTCAAATAAAAACACCAATTACCTATTAGTTATTTGGTGCAAATTAAGTAATCTGAAATTTCAATTAAAGTAGGTATATACTTACTTTATTAGCTGTATTCCCACCAAACAATACAATAAATTAATCGCTATCCACTCACAGTAAACAGTAAACATAACTTATACGGCAGCCATTATCAACACAGGACACATGTGACCGGTAACGGCAAAACGAAGCGTCTAGAAGGAATGATCACGTGACACGCGCCTATTGGTTTAAACAATCGTCTTAGTTACGAGTAATACCGAAACAGTGCGAACCATGAACATATGTATACAAGTATTATGAAAACTGAAGTTCAGTTACTGAACCACGTAGAAAATTATTGGTACCTATAAGTAACGTTTATTTTTAGGAAAACGATAGACAACTTTATTTTTATTTAGGTACAAAATCAAATATCCAGCTAATATATGACATAAACATTGTTTCTATCGCTAACAAATTTGTTAGCGGTGATAAATACATTTAAATATTACTTGGCTTACAACAACAAAATTTATAGACGTAGATTTCTCGTATTTTTAGACGTTGAGCTTACATAAAAATATATATATAAAAAAAACGTTTACAAAACACTTGAATGTAAACAAATTTGATAAGGGTAAATAATTCCAATTTCATAAACATGCTTTATAGTTGTTTTTATAATATATATATAGATTGGGTGATTAATATAAATTTATATATTAAATTGATAATTTTATGATTTTAAAATAGTATATCAAGTACGTAGAATATACGACTAAAATATGTACGTTTATAAAAAACGCTTAATATATGTTAAATAATTATACCAAAACCAAAAATATACGATTAAATTGTTTATTATACGTTTATTAAACGATTATGCAAATGAGTGTGTTGCTTGGGATTGTTTGCTCAATCCAGGGATATAATCTTATAAACATAATGTATAATATTATTTATAATAATTTACAACAAACGATGCTTCCGGACTAAATGTCACAATTACAAAAATACGTCAAATATAAAATGACAGCGACCCATCAATAATATTGAACGGTGCGCGCCAGCCTTAAGATATTACCAACTGGCACACACAAAAATTACTAAGTGAATGGTTTTATTTTGATAATTTCGTGAAAAAACGTTTTAAAACAAGAAAATTGTTACAGTTCTTGGTAAACAATACGCAAATGAATGATTTCTTTTTAAGAACACATCAGAATTACGCCTTAAAAAAGCAAATTTAACGGCAGTAACTTTACAATTCAAAGTTGGTAATGCTGACGTCATTATATCTCATTGATGACGTGCACCCATATAGATTTGGCCGTG